AAGAGAGTTGCAATAATCCAACCGCGATGTAATGAGCGCATGGACAGCAATCTCTAAGGTTTTCTCAGAGAGAGAGGATTTGATCATAGAGAGAAGACGTAGCTGGAAAAAACAAGAACTAATCACCGCATTTATTTGTTTTTCAAATTTGAGGTTCTGATCCCAGAGAACACCTAAATTCTTAATGCAAGATGAAGTTGGATAAAGATAATCCAGATCAATGTTACTGCTATTATGGTTGTCATGGGGGCCAAAGACTATAACCTCCGTTTTGGATTTTGAGAAAACGACATTTTTACTTCTTCGTTGCGTTTCAGAGGCAAATACATTTGTGTATCATCTGCATAGCAGTGAACACTTTTAACAAAGCAAGAGACACAATGTCAACCTTTCTTTTTGCTCCAGGCAACATAATAAAAAAAGTCTTAACATTTTGGAATTTTCTTCAGTGAATAAATGTGATTTTTTTTTATGTTAAAGATGCAGTAAGCCATTTCTGAGCAACAATGTTGATCTTTGAAATCAATCCAAACAAACACACCCCTCCTTCATTGATCCACCCCCAAAATGCACAAACACACAATTCAAGAGTAAAGCGCAGAACAAGAAAGTGCAGATGACGGAGGAACAACAAGGAAGAACAAAAAATGAACATACAGTACACTAGAGAATATACAAGCAAGAGTTCTTTGTTAGTCGTCAGCAGTTCACCGGCTCCAGATAAACAATGACCCCCAAAACTGTCCTGTTACTATAGCTAAGATTACAACAACAGCATATCTTGGTTCTGTGAAACATAATCAGAACCAATGTTACTCACGTATGGAGCAGAAACAACGCAACCTCAGCGTCCGTTTTCGTGTCTTGCTGCTTTAGGTCACTCCAGCGCTGGAAAGCTTTTCTAATATTAATGTGGGCTCTAAAGCGGATGCCTGATCATAACCCTTCTATCCCTTTTGAAAGGGAACCCGTACTGCGTCAATGACGCTATTGGGGAATGCCCTCCACGTGAACCGGTGTCTGAAAAGCTATCCAATCGCGGCAATCGAATTTGACCGGCGACAGCCTATGAAGTCACTACTAGTGTGACCCGGAAGTATAAAAGGGGCGCCTAGAGAACATGTCATCCTCTTTTCGTCTTCAGGGACTGTTTTATCTGATTTGCAATCACCTGAAAAAGGTAAGAATCTCAGGTTTCAGACACCAGATGACACACACACAACTTGTGTGTTTATTGTTTGGGCGAAGAGCACGCACGATCAGCTCTTGAGAGACCTGATTGTGCAGAATGTGAGAGTTTTCCCTCTTTTAGAGGAAAGAGGGACAGGCATCTGGGCCCAGTGGTTCGGGTCCTGCTTGTGCTGAGGCACTGCGGAGACTCGGATCATGGAGTTCCCAGATGGAGCTCGCTGACAAGTTTGAGAGAGGTGCTTCTCTCTCACGCCCGTCAGAAGCTCGCGAGGGTGAGCTGCTGGACGAGGATGTGTTATCTCTTACATCCTCTAATCCAGCAGCAAGTGCTCTGCTGGCACCTAGCCCAAGAGAGCAGGAGAGGGCTGATGAGGGTGAAGAAGAGGTACAACCTGAACCCTCACAGCCTCCCTGCCCCGCGTATGATGAGCTGTTGGGTGTTATGGAGCGCGCTTCAGCGAGGCTTCAGCTGCCGTGGGAGCGCGTGAAGGAAGGAGCCGTTCGCGGCAGGCTGGATGAGCGGTTCCTTTTTGGCCATAAGTCCCTAGCTCCCGTGAGCCTTCCATTCTTTCCAGATCTGCATACTATGATCAAGAAGGCATGGAAGAATCCATATTCTGCACACATCCATCGTCAGCAGCGAGCAAACTACGCTGATGTCGAGGGGATGCGTGAACATGGGTATGTATGTGTTGATGCTCCCAATCGACGAGACAAAAAACAAGCAAAAATAACGACTTTATTCAACTATTCATTTCCTTCTCTGTGGGCCTCGAGTTAGTTCACGTAGTGTAACTGCGCACCGCTTCTGGGTTGTATATGACATACAACACAGAAGCGCTGCGCAGTTACACTACGTGAACTAACTCGAGGCCACTGTCTAACTCTAGCACACTGTCCATTGGCAATGTAAAGTAGGAAAAACCGGGCCTATAGTATTTATATGAGTACACCTATGATATCTGAGGCTAGTTCTGCTAACAAGTATCGCTATCAAGTAGTAGGCTTTCACAGGCCTCGTTGAAGGTGGTTCCACTATCTTGTGGGTTTTTAGCAATAAAATAAGATCATCATGTTGTAGGCTCCCTTTGAGCCTCCCTGATTCTAGCCCAGAGCCTGGTCAAATATATATATATATATATATATATTATTTTCCTAGCTACCCTAAGTCTGGTTAGAAGGTTGAAGGACTCTCACGAGGCCTCCCTGCTAGATTAGCCTAAGAGCTGGAGGCGCTCCCCTTATCTAGGATCCCTTTAGAGTGCCACAATGTTTTAAAGCACTACTGTAGATCCAGGATTGAGTAGAGTTACTCCCCTCATTATCAAGCACTATACTGAGTTCTACTCTCCAGGATGCCCGTCTCTATATGTTCCGGTTTCACTATTGGTTTTGTGAGAGACTCTGTTTGGGAAAACAGACAGGTTGTTGGCAAGACTGGGTCAGTAGATTTGATCAGATCAGCCTCCCTGGTGGCATGTGGCTCTATGGTTGACTCTATGTCCCCCTCAGAAAGTGACTGGACAGGACTCCTTTTGGACCCCCTGGCCATATTCCCTTAAAGGAACCCCTTCCTTGGAAGCTGTTGGTTCCAAGCCTTTGAGCGGCCTTGGTAGGCCTTCCGTTGTTCGGAGGCCTCTTTGAGGCTTATAGCTTGGGCAGTGACCGTAGGGAATAATGTCACTGACAGCCTGTATGTGACCCGAAGGGGGAGTGTTTTCTTGGCGTTTTAGGTTGAAACTGCCAGTTCTGACGTTTTGTCATGACCCATAATTGGCATGCACTCCCCTCAGCATGGTGGGATTGTACTTTGTTCCCCAATTCCGTTATCGACGCAGTGCGAGTTCCCTTTCGAAAGGGAACATCTAGGTTATGACTGTAACCTCTGTTCCCTGAGAACAGGGAACGAGACACTGCGTCGTTAGCCATGCCTGCTGAACAGTCCCTTCAGACAAAAGTGGATGACATGTTCTCTAGGCGCCCCTTTTATACTTCCAGGTCACACTAGTAGTGACGTCATAGGCTGTCGCCGCTCAAATTCGATTGCCGTGATTGGATAGCTTTTCAAACACCGGTTCACGTGGAGGGCGTTGCCCAATAGCGTCATCGACGCAGTGTCTCGTTCCCTGTTCTCAGGGAACAGAGGTTACAGTCGTAACCTAGACGTTTTCCAGTGATATTCCTCTAAAACTTTTCTCTTTTGTAATGTCTCTCAGCCATCTCTCTCTCTCTACAAATCCCCCCTACAAATTCAAGAAACCTGTTTGAATTGAATACGACAATTGAACACTACAATAATTGATTTAATCTATTCAGCATCTAGGAATGCCTTAAATATCATATAACATACTAGGCCTACATTGTTTATTTTATTGCCTTTTACAAACATAAGCTTTTGACTTATTCTTACACATACACATGACACACTTAAGCGAGTGACCTCCTGATCTCCTGTCATCAGTGGTCAGCTCTCTCTCTGCTGTTCTGTGCTACTGGCACTCTGTGTTGAATTTGAGCATATGGGTCACACTGTGACAGAACAAATGTACCATAGAAGTATCCAGGCATTAGTATTAGGTGTTTGTGTAGAGTCTAGACAACAAATAATAGCAGCAACAAATCCAGGGAAATGATTTCTTGTAAGATGACTCACTGCAAAGTGAGCTGCACGGTCGGTGTCTGAAGTGGAAATGCCATTTCACTTTACTAGATACAATATAAGGGTCAATGACACATAAGGATGTCTGAGATCATGAAAATGAGAAATGTAGTTTAAAACACATGTGGCATGTTTTTAGAAATATAACTTTTGTATTCACTGTAGATTCATATGTTTGAAAAACATTTATAGCAGTTTTTACACACAAAAAATCATGTTAAAAAAAGGCAAAGTGTCAAGTGGTGCAACCATCAAGTAAAAAGTATTAAAATGTTTTCCTTGCACCTAACATACACATGAGTGTGCACAACTTGAATTTATAAATTTTATTACTTTGTTTATTTATTTATTTTATTTATTTATACAGTCTATACAAATAGAAATATCATGAATTTTGAGTCACAAAAATGTCTTCAAAAGGTCGTAATAAAAAAATAAAGACTAATACTGACTAATAAAAAAAAATACTGACCTTGACAGAGTCATGAGAATCTAAATGGACATTTGAATGTTTTCTGGTCACATGAAAACAAAATGGCTCCCTGCATGTTGGTTATGCCACACTGACTTTCATTTGGAAGACATAAATTCAAATATTATCTTAAATATGAATAATTTTGGATTTTGTTTTTAGATTAATACATGCTTGTTTTACTTTATAATAGTTATATAATATAATTTTAAGAAATAATATTTGAATTATTATAATATATTACAGTTATACCAAAACTAATCAAGTCAACATTTCTTTTTTCAAGAATTGAAATCTCCAGAGCTACTTTAAGCCCCACAAAAACATCAGAATAACGTTTAATTTAGAAAATGAGAACATGTTTACCATAGAAGAAGTTATTTCTGCATGAATTTCATTTTATGATGTCCTTTGAGTGTTCAGGCAACTGATGTACTTGTGCAATATTTGCGTCAGTGATTGCAACTACATGATCTACAAATGCAATGCCAATCAAGCAGAGAGAGAGAGAGAGAGAGAGAGAGAGAGAGAGAGAGAGAGAGAGAGAGAGAGAGGAGAGAGAGAGAGAGAGAGAGAGAGAGAGAGAGAGAGAGAGAGAAAGAGAAATTCATGCATGTTTTACAGCTGCCTGTGTCAGATGCACTTGTTTATTAAGCACTGCTGGACATTTTCACTCACCTTCCTCAACAGTTTGAGCACGTCCGTCGCATCTTCTATCTTCCTCTCCTGGAGGAGCTTCTGAATCTCTCGGACCCAGGCGACTCGTCTGACATACGGGCTGTGGTTGGCTCTCCTCAGAACCCCCGGCAGCTTATCCGACCTGAGCATCAGGGATGTAAACAAGAAGTCTCCGCTCCGATCGCTCTCTCCCGTGCTGTCTAGATGCTTCCGTCGCCTTCTTGAAAAATTATCGTTGTCGAGACTGTTTTGTCGGCTGAGCCTAGAGCCCATGATTTCAGTCACGTTAAAAATCACAGTGTTACTCTAAATACGACCTTTTTACCTCTCACGGCGTAACCATGGCACCCCGGACGATAACGCCCAGCGGTCCCCACATCGGTCCGAACTTGGGTAGCACACTCGGTCTGCTTACAGCCTCTTTGTGCAGTTCGCCCGACGACACACGCAGTAGTTTTCGCTGCGGGTTTGTCAGTGTTTTGTTCTTTATGCCAGCTCTCACGTCCTTGTATTTGTGTTTGTTGTCAGTAAGACACGTCCGCCCGATGCTCTGGTTGGTATTCAGTGGATGATGGTGATGCTCTCCAGCACCGCGCGTGGATCATTACTGCTCTGCTGTCCTGCCATTGGCTCGTGGTGTTTCGTGTATGTGCCCCACATGCCAAGAGAAAAATGTATATGGTGGTGAGGGGAAATCAAAACATTTTAATCGAATTTTAATTGAAGTTTTTTTGTTTTGTTTTTAACTGAGGGTGAATTAAGTTATGGTGAATTGAATATGATGTCAAATTTGAAAGAAACTATCAGTTCTAGACAAAAACAGCCACGAAAAGTGAATTGAGACTTTTGATAAATTTGTCTCTCAGATGTTTCTTCAGTTTAAAAAGACAATTCAAGGATTTCTTAGTCACACTGTTCTCAGATTTGTTGAAATTTCAGTTACACATGTTTTCTTCAAATTCATCCAAAAAGAAATTAGGCCTATTTATGCTCTCTAATATTATTGAATTAAGGGTAACACTATACAACAAGGTCTCAACTTTACAACAAGGTCTCATTTGTACACATTAGTTAATGCATTAGCCTAAAGCAAATCTGTTTATGTTTTGTTACACTTGTCTGCATTTAAAAAATATACACATACATATAACATATAGCTAAAACATATAGCTATAGCCTATATATAGGCCTATATAGCCTATATCCGCATATAGCCTATATCCGCCGATAGGCTATATCAGATTTTTAAATCACCAAATATTTGTATAGGCATCAGCCTTAAAAATCCTTTATCGGTTGGGCTCTACTTCATACACAGAGCGGTCATCGACATGGTGAAAAGGGCGTCATTTGATCGTGTTTTCCTGAAAACTACAGACCTTTTAGAACAACAAGTTGTACCCAACCTAGTATATCGTTGATCATCTGTTTCTCCGTAAAGGGGAGAGACAGTGAGAGAGAGAGAGAAAAAGAGGTGCTCAACAATCAGAGTCAGCTCTTGTACAATTGTGGTCACTGTGGGAAGCTAGTTTGATTTTGACAGACTGTACAGACATGACTAGGCTATAGTTAGTTATTCTTATGTTAGGCTGTATTTTCATAGATTTTAATCTGCTTTTATTCCAATAAAATCTGTTGATTTTGTTCTGTGATTGTTTCCATTTTGTCTTTTGTTGTATAGATATTTATAGATCTCTTTTGCTGTCACAGTTAACATCACAAGAAATGGAGTTGGAGAAAGTGGTTTTGTTTTAAACTAAAGAAAAACCCACAGCTTCCTTTTACTGTTTCTAAAAATTAAGATAGCCTACTGTGTGAGTTTGGGCCACGAGTTCTGGGAGGTGGGGAGGGGGGCCTCCAAGATTTTGTGCCCAGGGCCAGTGGCGTAGGTTTGATTTTGAAATTGGTGGGGACGGGGACATCAATATTTAATATATTTAAAGTTTTGATCGAAAATATTGCTAGGGATATATCAGTGTCACTGGATATTGGTAGGGACACGTCCCTAGCGTCCCTACTAAATTCTACGCCCCTGCCCAGGGCCCTCTGCTTTCTAAGGCCCCATCCACACTACTGCGTTTTAGTTTAGAAACGGAGAATTAAAACGAATACGATCTCCGTCCACACCAGCGTTTTAGCTGCGTATTAGAATTGATCTCCGTCCACATTAAAACGACTGAAAACGCGGATCACGTGACCATTCACCAACACTGGGCATGCGCGTGCCGGTGTAAACACAACTTCATTGATAAAATTATCCCACCATGCTCTGGGTTAACCCCAAACCGACGCTCCGTACGGTCAACGCCGCCGCTGCACGCGGGGAATTGTCACAGATCGCTCGAATAATAGCTTCACTCCGGCGCATGTAGGCAGTTATAGCGTTGTAAAATGCAGAATTTACTTGTACAACAGCTGCTAGCAAAGATATAGGCTACGCCATGACTGATGACACCCAATCATAGAGCCGAGCGTGAGCCTCTACTACGTCATCGTTTCTAAAGTCCTCCGTTTTGACCCGTCTACACTAAAACGCCCTCCGGAGAATCAAAACGAAAAACGGGTCGGCAGCGTTTCTAAACTTCTCCGTTTTGGGTCTCCGTTTTTTCCGTTTTAGTGTGGACGGGAGGTGCAAACGTAGCAAAAGGTCTCCGTTTTTAAACGAAAACGCAGTAGTGTGGACGGGGCCTAAATCCGTGCCTGACCTAACTAACATGGGACGGATTTCGCGGGAAATTCCATAATTCCATCATGCACACTAAATAGCCTATAGCTACTTTTTCTAATATGATAGCTTTTTCGGGAGGGCTTAAGATGCTTTTGGGAAACGCACCCATGATAAGGCTAGTGATGGGAAAACGAAGCTTTTCGAAACTCGAACCATTTCTTCGCAAAATCAGATTCAGGCCCCGTCCACACTAATGCGTTTTTGTTTAAAAACGGAGACCTTTTGCTACGTTTGCACCTCCCGTCCACACTAAAACGGCAAAAACGGAGACCCAAAACGGAGAAGTTTAGAAACGCTGCCGACCCGTTTTTCGTTTTGAATCTCCGGAGGGCGTTTTAGTGTAGACGGGACAAAACGGAGAACTTTAGAAACGATGACGTAGTAGAGGCTCACGCTCGGCTCTATGATTGGGTGTCATCAGTCATGGCTTATATCTTTGCTAGCCGCTGTTGTACAAGTAAATTCTGCATTTTACAGCGCTATAACTGCCTACATGCGCCGGAGTCAAGCTATTATTCCAGCGATCTGTGACAATTCCCGTGTGCAGCGGCGGCGTTGACCGTACATGGAGCGTCGGTTTGGGGTTAACCCAGAGCATGGTGGGATAATTTTATCAATGAAGTTGTGTTTACACCGGCGCGCGCATGCCCAGTGTTGGTGAAAGGTCACGTGATCCGCGTTTTCAGTCGTTTTAATGTGGACGGAGATCAATTCTAATACGCAGCTAAAACGCTGGTGTGGACGGAGATCGTATTCGTTTTAATTATCCGTTTCTAAACTAAAACGCAGTAGTGTGGATGGGGCCTCAGTGTTTGCGATGCACTCGGCGGCACCTGCTGGTATAACGCAGTAAACTCACATTAACCAATTGCTAACGTTTTTCAAGAAAATGTAAGCTAAATAAATCTACAAATATATAATTAAATATGACGATTTTGTAGGTATTTGAATGTTTAGGCTACTGCTTGGTTTGTGTGTTAGGCAGGGCTTGGCAAAATAGGTAAATTACAAGTTACAAATACAATAATCCTTTTTGTAAATTACAAGTTACAAATACAATTATCCTTTTTGTATTAGCTATAGGCTACACGCATGTATAAGTATTACAAATCATTAAATTAATGTAAACCTTCATTATGAAACTGACCTGAGATCAGGATCAGCAGGGTAGCCTATTAAGCGTTCACCAGCTCAATGCCATTTAGCGACGAACCATCCGAATTTTGAAATGTTTCGAAACCATGAAACAATTCGAAACAGTAGACGTAACCAGGGCCGTTTTTAACGGCTAGTCTGGACGTAACGAAGCGTTTGCTGAAATCGCGTGACTTGGCGAGTTTGACTAGATCCGAACCACTGATTGGGAACAAAAGTCAGATTCGTAAATGTTTCAAACTAAGCTTTAATAAGGAGGAGGATTTCAAAAGCGCCAGTCACTAGATGAGCAACTGCTACCATGGGTATGTAGGCTACAAACAGATTGTTGACTTGTGAAGGAAGAGCCGAGTCCAAGCCCACTTTAGCCTACCAAAACGGCGATCCTCCTTGTGTAACTGGCAGTTTTATTCACCGCTAGAGGGTCATCCGTGGATCTGTGGTTTCCGCCACAGAATATTAATAATTGCAACTTTTTATCTCGCAATTCTGACTTTAACTCGCAATTGCAAGTTTAAAAAGCACAATTCAGAGAATAACAGTCAGAATTGCGAGATAAAAAGTCAGAATTGTGAGATAAAAAATCTAATTACCTTTTTAATTTCTTATTCGGTGGGGGAAACAAGCTTCCATATAAAAGTTAGGCTACTTGTAGGGTGTAAGTAGGCCTAGCCTAATTTTAGGGGAAACATCTGAGATGTAGCAATAGCTACAATTTATCAACTCATGAATTGATAAAGTTAAGGTATGGCGCTGAAATGCTCTCTAACCTAAATATGTGTAATAAATATTAAACAGTTAAAGGAAAATGCTTAACACCTTCACGAAGATTCAATCCATATCGCAGGTCTTCTGTTGGCATTGAATGTCCATGACATATTTTGTCTCACTGAAAGCCTTATAGCTGATAATGTGGCCTAGACGGTCGCTTAAGCTTTTCTTATTTAGCTGCTGTAAAGCTTTTCGTTATCTGTTATCTTATAAGTGACAGATTGAATAGACCTTAGCAACAGACCTTACTGATGTCCCCGTCTGATTTGCAGACTTGCAGACTTTTTTCAAAATATCTGCTGAAACTCCATCTGTCTTTTATTTCCAATGTGAAGGCAAGCTATATGGACACACACAAAATGAGTTGGGTTGGTTTTATTGCTGGCTGTAGTAGCATAATATGCCAGTAAATATGGCATATTCCACTTATATGGGTCAAAACATAACATTCTCACATTAAAATCAGTTGTTTGGCTCTGCACATTGTTGCTTTACAAATGAGTGCTTCTGTTGTGTTGTTACTCCATGTAAGTAAATACAATTTATATATTTTCATATAGGCCTACGTGTCTACTTCATATGTGAAAATAGCTCTGATATGCTGTAATGTCAGTGAAATTCAGTGTTATGATTTCATATTATGTGCAATCTCAGCAATACCAGTGGCTCATTGATTGTTCAATTCCAAAACATCTGTCTGTCCAAGTCACTGATAACTAAAACAAGACTGTACATTATATCAGAATGAAAGCGAGATTATAAGCATTTTTAAAAGGGCGTTAGGAGCATGTATCATTTATTAATTCAATTCATGCTAAGATAATTCAGTACTCAGATAAGTAAGGGCTGAAGTTGTTTTAATTGTTTCAAACTGACTTGATTGATTGTTCGATTGTCAGCATTAATGGGATGAATTAATCAAGTAACGTGTCATGATATGTTGTAAAACTTATTTCCAAATTAAATCTGTGAAGTCCTATCTATTCCCCTGAAACCGTTGACACATATAAATACTCATGCACAGACATGCTCTTTATCTATTTTCTTAATTAATTGAAGTTTTATTGCTTGAAGGGACTGCTGAGTGACAAAGCATATTAATAAATGCGGAACAGTGTGTGACACATAATGGGAGGAGCTGAAGACATGCTGACACACACTTAGTAAATTTATGACTTTGGGACAAAAGGTCTCTTGAACAGGTCTAATGATGCTTCAAGTGTCTTGTCCCACACTGAAAAGTGCTGACCGGTTGTTTTTACAGTGACATTTTTACATAACTGTGCTCTTTAACGCCAGTTACAAGGTCATGGAATTTTCTGTCATTGGTATAAAGTGCCAAAGGCCTGAAATGATCTTTAGCATTCCTTAATGGAGCAATTCCTCCTGAATAAAGTTCCTGGAAGCTTTACAAACATAAACATGACATTTTCAAAGTCAAGAATCCCTCATCCCTCATCCCTCATGTAGCTGCGAGTCAACACCAACATGCTACATCAGAGGTGTTTCTTTCAAATCTTACGTAACAGGAAATGCTGACTCACATAAATAAGCTTCAAAAATGATGCCCAAAAGTCTAAAACCACCAGTGAAAATGCTTCTATGGATTATTTTCTAATTCAATAGGCCACATTCATTACAAATTATATTATCAGCATAAAAAAATTAGGCAACCATACTTCGATAACATTACATTAATGGCTACATTACACTTTTTTTCACAATTTCTAAGAATGTGGTGTGAGACATTTTGCTGTAATGAAGCCTGTGCTGAAGCTGTCACAGACATTTCATTCAAAACCGATGATCCATGTTATCCGTCATGATTTCAGAATGATCACAGAGTGTCTTGTTCTTCAGTGGAAGAAATAATATGTGATCTTTTGTACAGGGGAATTTACATGCCAATGTCACACATTTACTTGTTTGATTAGTGACCTAGAAATACTCCTGACTCGTTAATATTTTTTTTTTTTTTTTTTTTTTTTTTTGCTGTGTTTTACAATATTTAATCCTAGAAAATGTCTGGGCATTTTTACAGTTTTAAATGTTTTTTTTATTCAATCTGGTTTCAGACTTGTTTTAAACCCCACTATTATTATTTTGTTGTTGTTTCAATGTCTTAAGGATGGACATTGATTAAGGGTGGGATTAAATGTCTCAAGGGTGGGGTGAATGCACTGTCATCACAATCTTGCAGTAGTTTTACCTATGAAGCTCCTTAAAAACAGGGTGAGGTTTCATGTGAGTAATACCTGTTTTTACTGTCAGGACTTTTTGAAAAATAATCCTGTTTTAGCCAATCCCCCATGTAAAGTTGATTTATAACCTCTGGAGTTAAATTTGAATTAGCACAGATTATATCTGTCCCCAGTCCCATTCACTCTTGTGTTGATACATCCACTACAAGAAAAAGGATACGGTTTTATGGATTATTAAGGATTATGGTTCACCAGACGAAATCATCTGTGAGGTATGTTATGTCTCTCTATCTATCTATCTATCTATCTATCTATCTATCTATCTATCTATCTATCTATCTATCTATCTATCTATCTATCTATCTATCTATCTATCTATCTATCTATCTATCTATCTATCTATCTGTCTGTCTCTCTGTCTATCAATCTGTCTCTATCTTTCATCTTTTTGTCTGTCTCTGTCTATCTTTTATCTGTCTGTCTGTCTATCTGTCTCTTATATTTCTCATATTTCTATTGATCAATTGTCTGTCTGTCTCTGTCTATCGGTCTGTCTCTGTCTGTCATCTTTCTGTCTGTCTGTCTATCGGTCAGTCTATATATTTAATCTTTTTGTCTGTCTGTCTTTCTCATCACTGTCTCTGTCTATCTTTCATCTTTTTGTCTGTCTGTCTGTCTCTATCTATCTATCTATCTATCTATCTATCTATCTATATCTATATATCTATCTAATGACTCTCTCTGACTATCAATCTGTCTCTGTAAATCATCTTTCTGTCTGCGTATCTAATTCTGTCTGCCTGTCTATCAATCTTCTGTGTCTGTCAATTTGTCATCATCTATCTATCTGTCTGTATATCGATCTATCGCGGTCTAGCATATTTCTGTCCGTCTGTCTGTCTATCTATCTCTTTGTCTATCGATCGGTCTATCTATCTATCATCTATCTCATTGAAGTGTGAGTGTTTTTCAGATGTTGTTGGCTGCCTTTAATTACTTCCACAACATCTGTTTTAACTTTTGACTGTCTCGAAATGCATATAATATTGGACTATAATTAGGAAAATAAAATTCAGGGATTGTATCTTGTGTGACTGTTGTATGGCTTGGATTTACAGGGTTGATACAGAGCACAATTTGTAGAGTGTCATGACATTGTAGAATGCTGAGCCTTATTATTAAACTTACAGAACAGCTGTAAACAGTGATGATGATAGTGATGTGTTACTGTAAAGGGTTTATTCAACAGGTCCAGTGAGCTGGGTGACATTTCATTGTTATCCATTTCTCCTAAAAAATTACCTGAGGTTTACACCCGTGCTTCTATTCATAAACAGCGCATGTTGAAAAGGTGATGTAACTTGTATGCTTATTTTGGGGGGAGAAATGTTCTCTATGATCACAAAAAAAATGCATGCCCATATACTGCTGCATATATTTGAAACTCATTGTTTCTGTAAGTACAATTCACTGATCAACTGAGAATGATGAAGTAAATGACATTGAAATGGTGCTGACAAGCACATGTCAGTCTACAAACTAAATAAATATATTTGTATTGTGTGTAATGAGTGATGATCTCATAAATTTCATCAAGCATACATCAAATTACACACTCAAATATGATTATCTCAGAGGTCCTTTATTCACATTCTGTATCCATTCAGGAAAATGGTTAAGAAGTCTCTTGTTGCTGGGCTGGTGGTCTTGCTTGTGGCTGCAGTTGGTTTTTTCATGGGTGTGTATTTGGGGATCGGAAACAGGAGATTTGCTGTATCCTCTGACCATTTCTACTCAAAAGCAGCAGTGGCAGCAGATGCCGGGAAGTGCTCTGAGATTGGGAGGTAAGAGTCCAAAGATCCAGAGTTTCCTTGCATGCCATTGAACGTCACTTACACACCCAGCTTTCTTTATGTTTGCAGGGACATCTTAAAGCGCAATGGTTCAGCAGTTGATGCTTCTATTGCTGCTCTGTTGTGTGTTGGGCTGTTTAATCCACACAGCATGGGCATTGGAGGAGGGCTATTCTTCACCATTTACAATGCAGCAACAGGTAAAACACTGATATTTATGCATTCATCTGATGCTTTCCTAGGGATCGAATCCATGACCTTTGCGTTGCCTTCATTGAACACATTGAATTAAATGTAAAACATACTCCAATAATCTTCGGAAAATCATTTAAACTGCAGGGCTCCACAAAATTTACATCCCTTTCTAGTAACCCTGGCACTGAAGGACATTGTTTTAGGAATTTAATATGACGCAGAGGTTATTTGCCATTCAGCAGATACTTGTCATGCAAAGTGACTTACAGTACATTAATTGATATGACATGCCCAATAGCAACCTGGGGGCAAGTGCCTAGAAAAAGGCCACATGGTTTGACTCAGCATCATGGTGACCACAAATCTTACGTCACTCTTACTTGGTAGTTAATGTCAGCAAATGACGTGAATAACCACTGCCTCATTAGGTGAAGGTAACAAGAGTAAACAACAATTGATGGTGACTCACAAGCCTTAATGTTTTAGTAATTTATAGTCTTCATAAACAACACTCAAAATGACAGTCTTGACAATGAAATAAATAAATTCCATGTTTTTGTCCACAGGAAAGGTGGAGACAATTGATGCCAGAGAAACTGCTCCAATGAACGCTTCAGAGAACATGTTTGGCAATAACACCCAGCTGTCACGAAAAGGTATCTTTGCCATTAATATTACCATAACGTATCACCAAGTCCAGCCTCCATTCTGTATTATAATTGCGTTACTTAGTTACTTTTTATGGAAAGTAATACATTGTTACTATTTTTACACTTTTTCTCACCTGGGCTGGGTTCTATTTTTGGCAAATGTAAAGGCCATAGCACACCAAAAGGTAAATGATGCAGGAGAAGACAGTTCAACACTCTTACTTCAGCAATAAAACATAAATAAATAAAACACAAATGTGATTTTTAACTATGGCATATTTTCCTGATTTTTTCCGGCATGTTTGTCACATCATATGACTTTGATTTGGTGGACAAAAGTTTTTCAAATATTAGTAAAGGATTTTTTTTTATTCATATTAATTTATTATTTTTTTAAGACATAGGCTTAATAATACAAATTTATGCCAAACTACACTACGGTTAAAAGGTTTGGGGTTGGTAAGATTTGTTTATGCCTCATATACTCATCAAGGCTGCATTTATTTAATCAAAAATACAGTAAAACAGTAACATTGTGAAATATGATTACAATTTTAAATCATTCTAATATTCTGATTTGGTGTTCAATAAACATTTCTTGTCATTATCAATGTTGAATACAGTCGTGCTATAATACAAAATCTGATACAAAATTCATCAGAAACTGTAATAGGATTCGTTGATGATATATGTACAAAAGAACAGCAGTTATTTGAAATATAAATCTTTTTGAAACATTATGAATGTCTTTACTGTCAATTTTGATCAATTTATTGAATCCTTTCTGAATGAAAGTATTAATTTCTCTCAGAATTGTTTCCAGAATTTTCTTCTTTTAAATAGTCTTTTTAAATTGCATTAAGTGGTTTAAAGTATTTTTGAATAAATTAACAGATAGGACAGAAAATGAGTGTCATGTCGTTGACCTTATTGCAGTTCTGGCCCTTGAATGATGAAAACACTGTACTGTGTCTTGTTTGAATGGCAGGAGGGTTGTCCATCGCCATACCAGGAGAAATCCGTGGTTACGAGATGGCGCACAAAAGACATGGGAGACTGCCATGGAGGGAACTGTTTCAGCCCAGTATAGAATTGGCACGCAATGGTTTTCCAATTGGCAAGTCCTTGGCCAATGCCATTGCAAAAAACAAAGAATCAATTCTGAGTGACGTGATGTTGTGGTAAGAATTTATCTTTTGGACGCTACAGAAACTGGGCAATCTGAGGAAAATCTACTTATCATAAATGAAAATGGCACATTGAGTTTCTCAGTGTCAAGTAACAAGTGTAGCAAGGTATACCGTTGTGTACTGTTGTGTAATTTGAGATTGCATCAATAATTCTACTGATATTAAACACATAACTAGTCGAACTCGCCACACTCTATAAACACTGCCTCTACTAGTAGTTTTAATGAAATCATAATGATCTTGTCCTCTCTCTGTGTTCCAGTGAAGTGTTTTGTGACTCAAACAAAAACCTCCTGAGGGCAAATGATATCATTAGATTTCTCAAACTCGCTGACACCTATGAGAGGATAGCGGAAGAAGGGCCGGATGTTTTTTACAATGGATCTATGGCCCAGAATATAGTGAATGATATCCAGGCTGCAGGTCACTTCATACTTTCTTTGTTTAACACTATTTATCATGCCTTAAAGGTAATCTAACCTCATTTTAATAAAATACTGTCATTACAGGAGGGATTATAACACTTGAGGACCTAATGGAATATAAGCCAGTGTTAAATGAGACCCCGTTGAAGTTAACTGTGGGGGAGTACACCATTAATATTCCTGATGCTCCATCCAGTGGACCTGTACTCGCTCTGATTCTTAACATAGTGGATGGTGAGTCTTTCTGCATGCTTGCATCAAGGAGATGGATGGATTGTTCTTTACAACGTATTTAAGCGTTTAGAGATCATGTTCAAACATTTGATAGAGATGACTGAGTTATGGATAACTATGAGAGAACATGTTGTTTTTTGAGCAGGATTTGAGTAACTGAGTATGTAATAATCCTTCATCACCCCAGACATATATTAACTCACTCAGAGACGCTATGTCAGAGTGCAGTCTTCATTGAGTAATCCCAGGATTACGCAAAAGAGCTTCATTCATGAGGGCGAGCAGCATCATGTTATGCATTACGAAAGAACGTACTGTACATTTAGCTGATCATTATTGCAAAATAAACGTCAACAAGGCGAGCAGGATAAGATCTTGTATCACCCTGTAGAGGGTTTTACATTTAAAGACCCAGGACCATATATGATGAATGAAGACCAAGTGACCATGTGCTGTCTGTTTCTACAAATTATGTTTTATTAACAAAGTTCGGGAGGAGCACGTTCAGATAATTAACACGAGCACTCAGCAATCAATGATAAGAGGCGTATATAGATTCAGCGGTCTCACCTCAATCCATTGACAGTTTTGCAGCATCCCTCCCCTTCTCCACTCTTCTAGTCCTAACCATTTACATACGGGGGGGAGTACTCTGGGTTCGGGCCGAATTCCGAGCTCGGAGCCCTCCCCCTGGACAGCACGCCAAATATGCATTAAACTTTACTCCCTCTAATTTTATGTAAGTGTGAACTCGTGAAGTGATGTTAGGAGGACTCTCCTTAGGGTGAATCCACGCAAAGCTGGTGGTCCAGATGGCATCCAAAGCCGCGTTTTCAAGGAATGTGCCTATCAACTGGCGGATGTTTTTACAGACATTTTTTAACATTTCCCTTGAGCAAGCGGTCGTCCCGGTTTGCTTCAAATACACCCCCATCACCCCAGTGCCTCAAAACAAAAGTCCACAGTGTAATGCCTAAATGACTATCGCCCTGTTGCACTCACCCCTGTGATCATGAAGTGCTTTGAAAAACTGGTCATGGCTCACCTCAAAGCACACATTCCATCCACACTGGACCCTCAACAACATGCATACAAACATACCCGCTCCGCAGATGATGGTATCGCATTCACAATTCATCTGGCCCTCACACATCTGGAGAACAAAGACTCATACGTTAGAATGCTGTTTATTGACTTTAGCTCAGCATTTAACACAATCATCCAACAGACACTAATTGAAAAATTGTCAATGTGCAACTGGATTCTTGACTTCCTGAGCAACAGATGACAGGTTGTCAAAATCAATACACAGACCTCTCAGCCCATCCCACTGAGCACGGGTGCACCACAAGGCTGTGTACTGAATCCACTGTTATACACCCTTCTGACCAATGCCTGCACTGCAAAAAGTTTGCAGATGACACTACAGTGGTGGGGCTTATCATCAACAATGACGAAGGGATGAAGTGGACCAACTCATAGCCTGGTGTGACTACAATAATCTCGCCTTGAATGTCAACAAGACAAAAGAGATGATTGTTGACTTTAGACGCACCAAAGCCCCACACCAGCCCTTATCCATCAAAGGCACAAAAGTCGAAACAACACAGAAGTTTAAATTCCTGGGCCTGAACATATCCAGTGACCTCACATGGTCATCGAACACCTCCTCCTTAGTAAAGAAGGCCCAACAACGCCTGTATTTTCAAAGAAGGCTAAAGAGATCAGGCATGACCCCCTCTATCCTCACTGCTTTCTACAGATGTGTAATTGAGAGTGTACTATTAACCAGCTGTTTCACGGTCTGGTATGGAAACTGCTCTGCATCTGACAGGAAAGCCCTACAGCGGGTAGTGAAGTCGGCACAGCGTATCACTGGGACCAGCCTTCCTGCTAATGAAGATCTCTACAACACAAGGTGTGTGAAAAAAGCAACCTCCATCTTGAAGGACTCCTCTCACCCTTCCCACATCTGGTTCAAGGCCCTCCCATCTGGGAGGAGGCTAAGAAGCATCCAGGCCAGAACATCCAGACTCAAAAACAGTTTCTTCCCGCAAGCGGTCAGACTTCTGAACCGCAAGCCTGAGTGCACCTAACCACCCCCAACCCGCCAAAAGATTGTGACCATACCCCCATTATAATATATATATATTTATTAATTTACTCGTATCTCAATGCTGCTACACTTATATATTGCTTTAATTATTTGTATAATTTATTGTCCATCTTTTTGTATATCTATTGTTTACATTACTGTTGTCTTTTCTTAGTCTTCATGAATGTGGGAATGTGCGGGAAGAATGTGTTACCCTCGTTGTTCCCTGAAGGAACTGTTTCGTTTTTAACAATTGCCATGCAGTGTGCTAAAAATGACAATAAAGTTGACTTTGACATGATCTTTTTTAAAAAGTCCATCATGATGTACAAAACAAGATCCAACTCAATAATGTTTAAAAAATATGAATACTGAGGTCATTTTCACTGCAATCTATGAAAGAGATTCAAGATGCCAGTGCCAGTTTTGTTTACATGAAACAAGAGAAACGAATGGAATGATACACAGCATTGCCATTGACGATGGAGAATATTAGAAAATATCTGATCGCAGAATTCCACATTCCAGAGAGCCGTGTAACTATGACACAGGATGTTTCTGCATTCCACTGTGCTGCTTTTCCATTGTTTATCTATGTAAACATATATTTTTCTATGTATCAACCTCTTTTACCATAAACGCTACATTTTTAGAACTCCGTGTTATACACAAATGCAACGGTCAAACACGTCCATTTAGTGTATGTTTACATAGAACAGTGGAAAAGAATCACAGTGGAATTGTCCCTAAGACTTACTGAATTGTGTAAGCAAAGTAAATGTTTGCGTTTTGATCTTATGGAAATGTATTACCGTAATTATTCACATCAAGCATTCAACTCTCATTTTAGGTTACAACTTCTCAAACAGCAGTGTGTCCACAGCAGAGAAGAAGACTTTGACATATCACCGCATCGTAGAGGCATTTCGTTTTGCTTATGCAAAGAGGAGTAAACTGGGAGACCCGCGTTACCTCAACATTACTGACGTGAGTTCAGCTATTTTGTACATATTTAGTTTTTTTTTGTGCCTTATACAAGGAGTTATGGGAATTAAAGCAACCCGATCTCATGCAATTTTACTCAAGATCTGTGAAGTGGTTTAAAGAGTGCTTTTATTGTCTGAATATTTTCCCAAGGCCTCTAACTGTTCCGATTTCATGCACCTACGAGTTCAATGGCCTCTTGTAAATCTCTTTTCAATTATCTCCTTTCCCAGCTCATCCAAAACATGACCTCAGACTACTTTGCAGACAACATCAGGAGTAAAATCACAGATGACACCACTCACCCAGACACCTACTACGATCCCGAGTACTTTGTACCCGATGACCACGGCACGGCTCACCTGTCAGTCATCGCAGAGGATGGGAGCGCGGTGGCGGCCACCAGCACTATCAACCTTTAGTAAGAGGAAAAAAGGGCACTAGACCTATGTTTCTCACTTTATTTATTTTTAAAAACAGTGTTCCTCTAACAATATTTATATAGTCTGCTCTCATGTGTCAGTCTGGATCCCTGATAAAGAAAAATATGATTGTTTTTGGTGTCAAAAAAATATTTTAAGTGGACCTCAGGGGGAAATTCTATATTTGTGTTCTCTTCATTTTGATCTGATTATCTTGATCTTTCTTATTTTCTCACAGTTTTGGCTCTAAGGTGATGTCACGCTCAACTGGGATTATCTTTAATGATGAGATGGATGATTTCAGCTCTCCTTACATTACCAATGGCTTTGGGGTTCCCCCTTCACCCAACAACTTCATTCAGCCAGGTGTCTTGGGTTTTACAGCCTAAAATAAAATAATAAAATAAAATACCCCTTTTTATTTCTATAGACACACTGGTAAAATTCAAATGAAGTCATGTACATACTACTTTTTTCTTTTGACAAGGTAAAAGACCACTTTCATCGATGTGCCCCACGATAATATTTGACAAACACAACAGAGTCAAAATGGTGGTTGGGGCCTCAGGTGGGACGAAAATCACTACAGCAACTGCTCTGGTAACCACAAATATCAAAATCTGTTTAATATCTGTATATATATCTGTTGTGGCAACAATTCTGTTAAACATCATCACTGAGTAAGAGACAACTCGGAATCAAATTATTAAAAGAGAAATATTTATTCTTGCAAGAATAGGCCCAGTCGCCAACACAGCAGTTACCCTGTGGAGTGAGTGAGACCCAGAACACAAAATCAGAGCAATCTTTATACTGTTCTTTCCAAGGCTGTTTGCTATAGGCCTTGCCTCTCAGTAACTTTCCACAGACAAAGGACCCAATGTTGGTCCACTCCTCTTCAATGGCTGTGCGAAGTTGCTGGATATTGGCAGGACCTGGAACACACTGTCGTATACGCCGATCCAGAGCATCCCAAACACATTCATTCATGCTACCTACAGCGTGCGACAGCGTGTTCCAGGTCCTGCCAATATCCAGCAACTTCGCACAGCCATTGAAGAGGAGTGGACCAACATTCCACAGGCCATAATCAACAACCTTTTTTTTTTTCTCTCGGGGGGTCCCCCCAGCCCCCCCAATACAGTAAAACTGCACATTTTAGAGTGGCCTTTTATTGTGGCCAGCCTAAGGTACACCTGTGCAATAATCATGCTGTCTAATCAGCATCTTGATATGCCACACCTGTGAGGTGGATGGATTATCTCGGCAAAGGAGAAGTGCTCACTAACACAGATTTAGACACATTTGTGAACAATATTTGAGAGAAATAGGCCTTTTGTGTACATAGAAAAAGTCTTAGATCTTTGAATTCAGCTCATGAAAAATGGGGGCAAAAACAAAAGTGTTGCGTTTATAATTTTGTTCAGTGTGTGTATATACATATATATATGTATATATATATATATTGGATGCATGTGCCAAACATGCAGCAGTGTTTCCCAACCATGGCTTTGAATGTCTTCCTTCACTTTCTCTCTTATAACACTAATTTCACTTGTCCCAGGTGATCCTGAACTCACTGTTCTTTCACTACGATCTGAAGAAAGCGGTTACAGAACCAAGAGTCCACAACCAACTCAATCCCAACATGACAGTTGTAGAAGAGGACTTTGAGCAGGTGGGTTTCTGCACTTGACCATTGAACTTTCTTAATTTAAAGGGTTAGTTCACCCCAAAATGAAAATTCTGTCAGTAATTACTCACCCTCATGTTGTTCCAACCCTTCAAGACTTTCGTTCATCTTCGGAACACAAATTAAGATATTTTTGATTAAATCTGAGAGCTGGATCACTCCTCCATAGGCTTCTTAAAGGAATACTTCAGGATTTAGCATTAAGCTTTGTATTAGTAGAAAACCTGTAGTATTTTTTAAAATTACCGTGCTTTCCACCCTCATATCCCCCTGAGACCAGAGATTTATGTATTTTTTGTCTGGAAAAAATCCTCCGATGACGCAAAAATCGTCATTTTGCGTCCTCTGAGGATTTTTTGGCCAGAGGCTAAAGACTACAGCCAGTAGTAGGGGCTGTCCCGCATGTTCTCAACCCGCCCATAGAGGGTGGGATCTCAACGATCTCACTCACAGAATGTACACATAGTGTCAGACATCTTTTTTGGAAGCTAAGCTAGCAGGCCCTTGTTCTGTGGAGAAAGCTGAGTAACTTAGTAGGAGAAAGCTGAGTACTAGGGGTTACCATTCATCCTCTTTTTCCCGGACATGTCCGGCCGTCGAGATCGTACAAAATGTCCGGGATTCAGCTTTTGCTTTCTGCAGTCGCCATTCATTGTTTACATGCACACCTTTTGTTTCAATCTAACTGAATTCATTCCGATTGGTGAATCTGAATGTAGTGTTTACATGAACGCTAAACAAGTGATCGGTTGATGTGCGTTTTAACATTGCTAAGAAAATTCCCGCTCCTCCGTGAGAAATACGAGACCGGTGCGTCTCACAGGTGTCGCTCATCAGTAATCACGCCCTCGGCCTCGTCCTGCTCGCCACAGTAAACATAATGAATGACGACTGTAGAACGCAAAAGCCGAATCCCGGACATTTTGGGCGATCTTGAAATCCCGGGCAGACTCATCATGGAGACTCACTAGTAGGGTTGGGTACCGAAACTCGGTGCCAATAGGGAACCGGTTCCGACGTAAACGGTAGTAACTAGACCGAATAAGAACGACAATTTCGGTGCCTGATTTCGGTGCCTGACTTAGGCACACGCGCACACACACACGCACAGTCTCTTCTGTCTCGCATGCGCGCTCTTGCTCGCAAGGTTTGGCTGCATTTCACGTGTAAAATTACGCGTCAGAACGCCCTCTGGGTGTGCCGATAGTCTGAATCCATATAGAATCAAGCCAATTCATTGGCTGATGTCGCGGGCGCCGCCTCGACGCACTTACGTCGTCATATTATGTTGGCGCGCGCGCGCCATCTGCTCCTCAGATTTCTTTGCCGAAAAAGGAAGCTGGTCGGCAGCGCAAGGAGCTTGGCAGCGTCTCGTTCCCTATTGAGAGAACATAGGTTACACCAGTAACCAGAGATGTTCTCTTTCATAGGTTCACTCAACGCTGCGTAGCTAAGAAGCAGTGGATTTGGATTTGTAGGCTGCTGTATCACGTGCCGTTTGAACTGACGCGCTACAGCGATCGGTCTCTTTTCAAAGAGCCAAAACGTTATTTATTGTGTGAATCTCGTAAAAATATTGACAGAATCTGACAGATGTGGATTTGTTCCATATCAAAAGTAACCTTGTCGTCCTCTTTGTCCGCGATTTTTCTGTGTGAAAAGGGTCAATTGCGTGAGTCTCACGGTCAATGCGTGAGAGTTGGCAGCTCTCCCGCTAGTAATCTCTATTAATCTCCAGTATTATTACATTGTTTGATACAATATTGTTTTATTTGATATTATGTAAATGTGAATTTTTATTTTATATTGGTTTTATTATTATTTGTATTTATTGTTTAAAGATTTACGTTAATATTGTGTCCAGTTTGGCCCTGTAAATAAAAGGGTATTATTTTTTGATAAAGTGTGTGCGGTTTCGTTTTCTTAAGTACCGTTTCAAGAACCGTTTAGGCACCGAAACCGTTTAAAAAATACCGAGTAGGTACTGGTATCGGATAAAACCCAACCGATACCCAACCCTACTCACTAGTAGCCTATACTTGTTGTTTAACTACTGCGCTCTGTTACCGGTAGACGTGGCCTCCTAGGGCAGCGAAGCAAGTGCATTCTGGGAGTTGTTGTCTTTCATCCACATAAGCCAAAAATACATTTTCTGGCTTTTCTCAGTCTAGAAAGCTCCAAATTAAAAAATAATTTCACATTTCTTCTACATAAATGACCCATTTTAAATACACATTCATCTTTCCAGAGGTGAGGTATCCCTTTAAGGGATTGAAACTTGCCGGCCCAGAAAAGTTATAGACATCGTTAAAATAGTCCAAGTATGGCTCAATCTTAAGTTTATCAAGCGACGAGAATACTTGTGCGCAAAAAAAACAAACAAAAATAACGACTTTATTCAACTATTAATTTCCTTCTCTGTGGGCTTCGAGATAGTTCAAATAGTGTAACAGCGCAGCGCTTCTAGGTTGTACTATTTTAACGATGTCTTTAACTTTTCTGGGCCGGCAAGTTTCGATCCCTTAGAAGCCTATGGAGGAGTGATCCAGCTCTCAGATTTAATAAAAAATATCTTAATTTGTGTTCCGAAGATGAACGAAAGTCTTACGGGGTTAGAACAACATGAGGGTGAGTAATTACTGACAGAATTTTCATTTTGGGGTGAACTAACCCTTTATGTCATGATAAAACAGTTCATTAACTCTGTAAGGCCTGTGTGACATGATTCTACAGAGTGTTCTTGATGGCTTGGCTCAGAAGAATCATGTAACAGAGCTGCTGAGGACGCCAGGAGCAGTAGTGCAGGCCATCGTGCGACAAGGGGACAAACTCTGCGCTGAATCTGATCCCAGGAAAGGCGGCTATCCTGCAGGATACTGAACGCCACTCCCTCTCACCCTTCTCACATTTTGTGGACTTTCGTTCATTGGTGACTCAATCAAGAACCAGGAAAGACTAATATACACATTCAAAAGCAATTAGTCCAACAATCAACATGGACTATAATGCACAAGGTTGCACAAAGACTCCCTGTATTTATTAACTTTTCTTTTTGACGGGAAAATGTTTCATCGGTATCAATAGTGCCTTACTTTCATATTGAACGGTCTATGGTTTTACCAAGCTTATTTATTCCTTTTGTGTGTAGAGAAGAGTATTGATTATCAGTATGTGGGGGTCATTTGGTACCTGATTCCATTGTACAGGTTCTTTGTTGTGTGATTGAGGTTTTTTGGACATGGGGTCAATGTTAAGAGTGCTCCAAAATGAGGATGTGCGACTCTTGTTCAAGTCAGGGAAATAAGTATGAAATTAAAATATTACAGGTATTTATTGTACATCATGCTGACTGCATGGGACTGAGATTCTTCCCAGCTAACAGGGATGTTCTTAGAACTTTGGCTAACGTTCTGGCAAGGTTCTACAGTAACGTTAAAGGGTTAGTTCACCCAAAAATGAAAATTATGTCATTAATGACTCACCCTCATGTCGTCCCAAGCCCGTAAGACCTCCGTTCATCTTCGGAACACAGTTTAAGATATTTTAGATTTAGTCCGAGAGCTTTTTGTCCCTCCATTGAAAATTTATGTACGGTATACTGTCCTTGTCCAGAAAGGAAATAAAGACATCATCAAAGTAGTCCATGTGACATCAGTGGGTTAGTTAGAATGTTTTGAAGCATCGGAAATACATTTTGGTCCAAAAATAACAAAAACTACGACTTTATTCAGCATTGCATTGTCTTCCGGTTCTGTTGTCAATCCGCGTTCAGTGACGCTGCTGACGTAAGACGCTGCTGACGTGTATCTGGTGCGAAAGAGCTTCGTTTACAGTCTGAGGGAGACGCACGCTGTAAACAAAACAACCTTCGCAAACATGTCTAAGGATTTCGACACAGAGGAAGACTTGCATTTTTTTGCCCAGCCATATTTATTTGAACCTGAATACACGAACGCACCAGATAACACGTCAGCAACGTCTTACGTCATCAGCATCACTGCGGACTCGTGAACGTGTATTGACAACAGAACCGGAAGACAATACAATGCTGAATAAAGTCATAGTTTTTTTTTTTTTTTTTGGACCAAAATGTATTTTCGATGCTTCAAAACATTCTAACTAACCCACTGATGTCACATGGACTACTTTGATGATGTCTTTATTTCCTTTCTGGACAAGGACAGTATACCGTACATACATTTTCAATGGATGGAACGAAAGCTCTCGGACTAAATCTAAAATATCTTAAACTGTTCCGAAGATGAACGGATGTCTTACGGGCTTGGGACGACATGAGGGTGAGTCATTAATGACATAATTTTCATTTTTGGGTGAACTAACCCTTTAATACAATGTTTGTTCAAAGTTATCTGGTCTTTAATAATGTTCTCAAAACGTTAGCAGCACAAAATATTATTGATAAATCATTGATCATGGAACTTTTTTTTTCTGAAACGTGGACATTTTTGGACTTTAGTTGGACATTTTTTTAAATGTTACTACTTGATTCAGAATCTTCATAAAACATTCAAAAGTAACATTCCCATAATGTTAGCAAAATGGAACATTTCCTTAAAGTTCATATAACCAAGAAAAAATGCTTTTAAAACATTTAAAAACTGAACATTTTGAACATTCAGAAATACAGGGAATGTTAGCAAAATGTTCTTAGAACATATTTGTGTTAGCTCAGCTGATATTCAAAGGGATAGTTCCCCCCAAAATTAATATTCATTCATCATGTACTCACTCTCAAGTTGTTCTGAACCTGTAGACTTTTTGTATTCTATATTGTATTCTACTGTAGAACACAAAATATGTGCTATTTTCTCGTCTCAGAGCAGTAACAATGAATGACTAGAGATTTCATGCTTCAAAAATGGTGGACAGTATGACTTGTATATATCAAATTTAATTTGTTTTTGTGTTCAACAGAAGAAAAAAAGTCATATTAGTTGGAAAACCATTTCATTTTTGGGGTGAACTACCTCTTTAAGCTTCTATTTTTCATGGTAGACAAACTGGATAACAAGACACTGCTAAAATGTGTGAGGAAACTATTACTATCTATAAGATGAATGTTCGATTAAAGCAGCAACCAACATATTATTTTTTAAATGGTGAACTGGAATGATATTGTTCTTATGGTGAAGAGAAGCTGTTATTGACATCAGAGCCATTCATACGTAAAATCCTGGGAGAATGGCATGCAAGGCATCAGATTACCTCACTGGACATGTTACTCTATACAGCCATTCTCTCCGAGATGACTTTCATAATGTGAAATGCTGAACCGCAATAACAACTGTTTTTCTGTTATAAGTAAATGACTTGTGTACATGAAACAGACCTGAGCTTAAATGTAGTAAAACATTATGTTCACTTCAGGTCTGAATGTTACATTAGAAGTCTGCAAGGCAATATATAATGTAACATTGTGTAACTGTAACTTAAAAACATTTTAAATCAAGCCATGAAAAAGGTTATTAAGAGATACCCAGGTCCATCATAACAACATCTAATATTAAACGTGTGTAGAGATATTCATCAGAAGTCCCTGTTATTATCTAATGTTATCTGATTGTATGTTGAATTACATTATGAGCTATCACTAGACTGTTGAACGTTGTCTTTTTTTGTTACCAAATCATAAAACTGCAATATCATGCTGTATAATGTATATCACATTCAAGCTATTTCATGAAGCTATGTTAATTTATCATGAAATGACACTGTGGTGGAAATGTAAAGTGCATTCAGACAAATAAAATACATTTGTGTATATATTTTTTAAACATCCACTGTCCTCTGGATGCTGCTATGCTGTTAATTAAACTGTTTTGGACCGATAGATGTTTGCCGTCGCATTCATAAGTGTTCGTATAAATATTTTAAGAGCTAATTACTAAATAATGCAAGCTGTATTTTATGAAACAGTGCCATATAAACCAGCTCTGAGGCAAAAACATGTTTTGAAAATTGAAAGGCATGATAGGCTACTAGCCAATTATCACATGGACAGTCTGGAGCAACACACAGGAATACATTTTTATAAAGGTAGAAGAGCAAACTTCTTTGAAAGAATGATACAAATCAAGTAAACAAGATTTAACCTATGAACTAATGAAAATCTGGTTTTAAAGGCCTTTAATACCCGTGTAGTATAATTTCTGCATCACTAAACAGGTTGAGGTTTCACTCCTTACTTATGTTATTGGTCGGTCGGCCAGCTCCCTCCCCAACACACGCCACCGGTTCAATCAAAGTTATTATGTTCTGATTTGTAAACGATCAAGGTTAGTCATGGCTCCATTAGCCCCTGCTGGTAAGATGCCTTAATTACACACATCTTTATTCTTTGACATTTATTCAAATGTAATATCTATAGGCTGCATAGAAGAAAAAACGTGTTGCCATGCTGCCTTATCAGGCAATGACTTTCCAGGCAGCGTTTGTGCACGAAGGTATACCTCACGAAACTGACTTCGGACAGACTTCTGAGGCAACAATGAAATGATATACAATATAGAGCGAGCTTTGGTGGTAACATAGAAAATATTTAATTACTTAAATAGTAATATCTCTCTAGAAATGACAGTGGAAAACGTTGGTCAAACATGACAATTACATGCAAACCGACGACCAACTGCAACTTTCAGACTTATTTTTTAAGCCCAACTGTCACGGAATGGAAAGCAGAGGATTGTGGGATATTAGGCAGCGAAGGATACATCTATGCTGCCTTCAAAAATGAAGTATCAGGATACAGGAAGTGAAGCTAACAAGGGTTTTGGACATGCCTCGACACCTTCCTAATATAGAATGCATCGTCCGAAGGCAGCATTTTTAACCATATAGGCTAGGCTAGGACCCAGCCTTAATTTCATTTTATGGTAGCTTTATTTCATTTAAATTTGTTGAATTTTTCACATTAGCCTATTATTCAAACGTTAGGGGTCAGTAAGTGTTTTTTTTGTGAAAGAAATTTATACTTTTATAAAAATATCATATTCACATAAATGCTGTTTTTTTCTGACTTTCTAATTAAAGAATCCTAAAAAAAAAAAGTCTCATGATTGCCACAAAAGTATGAAGCAGCACAACTGTTTTCAACATTGATAATAATAAGAAATATCATAATTATTTCAATATATATATTGTTCTTTATTTATTTCATTTAATTTGAATTCATTTTTGATCAAATAAATCCAGCCTTGGTGAGAATAAGAGACCTTACAAAACATTTGAAAAAATCATACCGAACAACTTTAAAACAGTAGCATATGTATATTTTTATACAAAAGTGTATAACTTTTAGCTATTTGACATGTTTTTATATTATAAGCATTACTCCATAATGCAGTAGCAGCCTGCAAAACATGTAAGTGAAGTGCCTCAGGCTTTGTCTGTGTGTGATTTGCATATATTTCAATGTTGACTTTCCTCAGCAGGGAAAAGACAGAATACAAAAAATTCAAGGAAGCATTCTTTTCCGCAAAAGCCCTGAAGCTACTCGCTGACAGGAGTGCGGTCACCTGAATGCTCATAACTCACTGCAGGGCTTTGTTAAGATTCATGAATTTTCCGTCAAAGAGTTTTCAGTGCGCACATTCATACTTTGAATGAGCTGAAAACTAAGAAAAATCCACTGATTGACACACAAAAGGCAATGTCCAAAAGCGCACAAGTGTCTGACAGTTGTATTGTCCCACAGCTGGCAGTTGCTGAGGGTGACTGTAAGTTTGGCCTGAGGAGAGATGATTCGGTATTCTACTGTCAGACAGGAAACCCTCTGGCTTCCGTATGCTCTCAGCTCCAGGATGAAAAGCATAAAGGAATAAGAATGAGAAAGATTTTGGGTACCAGCAGGCAGAATCAGGACTAAAGCTCCCCTGTGGACTTCAAATGGAAGTGACTGGGCTTTAGGCATGCACAGACGGCAGACTCTAAGGGTTTGCTGACTGCCACTCAAGTCATGCTAACTGTTTATGCCAAGCGATTACACGACGACGTTTCTTTCTTGTGCTCCGGAATAGCTAGAGCTCATAATGCTCTGTTTATCTTTCCGATCGTGATGCCAAAGCTAATGCAATCACTCGCATTGTTCATAGCCTCCGATGGGATCTCGCTGTGCATTTTCATTAGTCAGACACATCTTTTTTTCAGAGCTTTGCAAGTTAATTATAAAGAAATGCCAGGCGTCTTGCTGTGGAGGCATCATTGGTGAGCAGCTGAGCTAAACATTCCCTTTGACCATCCATCTGCACATTTCAGAGCTATTGAGAGTTGCCAAGAACCTGTGACAGGCGGTCAGCAATCAATAATGTGACTGGAAGACTTTTTGAAGAGCCTGTAGAGTCCTGTTGTACACCATTACAAATGTTTTGACACAATCTAATTGCAATTCTAATTTAAAACTTCAGATATGGGGTTTTCAAGCAACATCCAAGTAAAAATAATCACATAGATGTTATATTATATTCAGGGCCCCTGGGGAATGTGCATGACCTCCCAAAAATTAGGAAATGTGTTTCAGCTAATATTAGATGAGAGTATATAGAGAATAGAACACATCTTACACTATAATGTACGCTACTATAATACAAATAGTAGCATACACAACCCTTAAACATTCAAATATAGATTTTTCGCAGTAATATTTTACATTTTACAATCTTTTCATTTAAATGATGTACATTTAAAGTATTTTAGAGTTAGTTTTTTTTTAGATTCTAATGACATAAAAAGGTAAGATTTCAATTACTCAGAGATCAGTTGTGAAATAATTATTAATGACATGAATAATGAAACAATTCACATTTTTTTCAACAAAAGAGTTTATGTAAAACATCTGTTGTAGTCGGTACAAATGTTGCTTCATTTCTATTTGTTTAACCTTCATAAACAAAATAAATATGAAATAAAGACATTGAACGTGAAAATAACAAACTTTTAAAATGTTTGCCAGTGTTTTAAGTTTTAGAAAAAAATGTGACACTACCATTCAAAAGTTTGGGCTAGCAAGATTTGCCCTTTTAGATGGCACAAATCAACTCATATTATACAAGTTTTGTAGTACACAGTAATTTTTTTAAATGTGCCACTAAAGTAGTCGCCCATGATAAAATAACATACTGTGTATACACACACATACACACATTTCATTAATAATTTTCACATTAAAATGTCAAAACTTCTTGATGGCGCTTGCTGTTATTTGTCAGTTTGCCATCCTCCCAGTGCACTTCATCCACACACGGCACAGATGCGTCAAGCAGAGTTGAGAGATCTGGTGTGAATTAGTCTCCAGCTGCACTCCAGGTCAATACCCTGCAGCTTTTCCATTTTTCCGCGAGTCAGATACAGCCTCTATGCAGTTGTTTTCCTTTGATACTGCATTAACCACATTATAAAACATCTGCGGGATTTTGACTCTGTGTCCAATCTTGTTAAGTGACTCCAAAACTATCTGAGGAAGAAAAGAGATGAAAGCGGCTCAAAAAATATCACTTGATCCTTTACAAACAATTTACAACAGGGACATTTGTGTCTACTTACCTTGTCAAACAAGGGCTCGAAGTTGAGAAAGTTTTTGGAGTCCACAAACACCACAGGGGCGTCGATGGAATCTTGTATCGTCTTGCCGAACCACAGGAAGTTCATGAGAGTCTAGCCAGAGGGGTTTTAGTCAGAGTTGGATTACTAAAGCACAATGCGTTAAATTTGCTCAGTTTAAGGGTAAGATCTACTAACAGCTTTCACCAGCACAAACCTTTTTTTGGCATTAAAACACTACAGTCAGGATTGACTAAAGACAAGCAGTGAAAAATTTTCTCTGAAAAGGTGTGGACAGTCCGGCCGACCTTATTGCACATGCATTTGTACGTTTTTCCCTTTCAGACGCAACATTTATGGGAGGAGAGTATTTAAATGAATCATGCAACATGATTTACTAAGGTTTGTAGTAGTCAATTTACTGGTATTTGCACCATTATTTAACGCACAAAAAAGTATTGCTGCGTCCAAAATCGAATACTTTCCCACTATATAGTATGCAAAAAATAGTAAGCCAACAGAGTTGCATGCCCGAATACATAGTATTCTTCGAAAAACAGTAGGGAAAAAGTACCCGGATGACCTTGTCACATTAATGTTCAGTTAGTTTCTGTTTTGTATGGACTTCACGTGTGTTTCTTTGTCTTAAGCCCAATTCGCACTGGATTAGTATTATCTGGAGACCTCGTGTGATTTAGAAATTAGTATGGTGTATAGCGATATGAACTCCATTCTTCGCGAAAGATGGATAAAAAGGCGCACAGGAAACAAAAACCTTGAAAAAAATTATAAACGGGTTCCGCCAAATCACAGAGATGCCGATTCGCACGGGACTAATATTATCACAGGACCTCTGTGTTCGGTGAAATATGGTAGGTCATTTGCGGGGGAATTTTTACTTTACAAATCACAGACATGGCCGATTCGCACGGGATTAAGATCACAGACAACCTCCACAATTATTACAAATGACTAGAGGTCACCAGGTAATACTAATCCAGTGCGAATAGGGCTTTAGTTTCCCGCCAGTCATCAGTTGTCATGGATACTTCTCTAATCATCACACCTGTTCGTTATCAACTCATTATCACTGTGTATTTTAGTTGCTCTGTTTCACCCTTCGGTTGATGGTTGTTGTTCATGTTTGCGTGTAGACATGTCGTTACATTGCCTTCATCTTCGTGGATTACCTGAGTTTAAAAGACCTTTTTGTTTATTGAAACCTTTTTGAACTTTCCTTCAGCTTCTTCATCTTCGTAATGTTGTGAATGGCAGTTAAGTGACGCAACTAATGCCTTAGGTCACATAACAGTGACAACATGACGGATGTAGTAGGGGAGCGCGGGGCACAACCTAACGCGGGGTTAAATGTAACACGGACCTTTTACATAGTTAGTCAGGATCAAGCCGGTTATGTTACCGCTCTTTTTCTCTCGCTGCCAGAAGACGGTCTCCCGTGAATTTGTGGAAAGTTTTGAAAATATTTCGTGAAGATACTGGACAAAGAGTGGTTTGACACCATGCAAGTAAATTTTTTTCATCATAGGTTTTTTTTCGGTTTCTGAGTTGGGTGTGTACGTTTCCAAATCTAACTTTATATTGCCTTAATCACTGTCTTGTTTGCTAAAACATAGCACCGTTTTGAAACATGTCAGCAACTGTTAGCTAGGCTTAAAATATGTTTCACACAGCGGGGTTAGTTGTAGCACAGTGTTACAACTAAGCCGCCAAGTGTAGGCCTACAATGATAATCAAATGAAAACAGGGAGCCACACAACTTTTCAGGTTTGAGTAATTATTTATATATTTAACTTTGTTGGACTTTCGCAAACAATGTTGGAATTTAAAATGTAGTTTACTATGCATTGATCACTTGTTTATTTATTAAAAATATGGCCTGTTTTTAATGCAATAAACCCTTTAAATTTTGATTTTAAGCTCATTTGTATTATTACTGTTATTAATAATAATAATTTTACATGCAGCTGCCACACACAAATCTAATTCAATTGCAATTACAATATTTGATTTTTATTTATTTATTGCAAAACTGTGCAGCCTCTATCCATGATATTGATCCATAATAGAAGGATGATTGGATGAGGGATGGATGTATGGATATCTATCTATACAGATGCACAACCAATATCAAACTATACAAATAAAATCGTACTGAATTATGTGTGTTACACTGAAGTGTTACAACTAACCCCGCATATGGGGTAAGTTGTAACATTTGCACTTCTGTCACTTTTTAGTGCAACAGTACGAAAATGGCAGGTCCTAGAAAAAAACTTTAAGTGTTCATTTGTAGCAGAGATGTGTATGTTGCTTGTGTAAAAAAAAAAAGTTGAATCTAACTTAATCATTTTTTTAATAATTGAGCCAAAACCAAAATGTGTTAGGTTGTGCCCCGCTCTCCCCTATACCAGAATTTCATGCATACTACACACATTCATACTAAATAGAATTCACTTTTCACAAAGTAAGTTTTAAACTAAATGCAGTACAGTACCTACCGTATAGTATGAGATTTCAGACACAGCACGTCTTAACTAATTTAGCGCTTGACGTGACCGTGATAGTTGCTGTTAGGAGGAGGCACTGCACATAATAGAGTGTCTGGTAGAAGGTAGAGAATTTTTTTCCACTCGTGTTTATTTATGTGGAATTCCAAAGGAAGATGCTATCTGAACATATAGCGTGCAAAGCCACGTTATTTATAATTTGCTGTGTTGTTAGTAGATTACCCACACCTGATTATCATCGCCTCTGCTTGTTTTCGACCCTATGGTCAGCAGTCAGGTTCCGAAAGTAAAAACTCTATAGTGTCAACACTCTCCAAAATAGCTCTTTAGCTCCGCCCACTCCCATGAAGCACTGCAAATAATGTAATTGAGTCGATCTCTCTATGCTTTCAAAATACTTAAATGTTTGTATATACTTGCATATTTTGCAATAAACTTAAAATATATTGCTTTTATATATAATTAACATAAGTAGTTTTAAGATTTCTTCATTTTAATTTGATTATGCTGTTCGCAATGCTTCATGGGATTGTAATTCTCTCACTAAAGCCGTTAAGCACACAGTCTTGTACTTTTGTCTTATTGTCCGATTTTCAAAAAAAAAATCAAACTTTTCCAAACACAATTCAAAAGTTTGGAGTGTTGGGATTCACCTCGTAGCTGGTTGGCTTGGTCTATGGCTTATAACTCTTTATCAAAGACTTTTTATAAATCCCAATGGGAAAAATGAATGGGAAAAAAATCCAGAACTTTCCCCTCCATCGGCTCTTCTATGGGATCATGCTAATTTGCCCCGTTTAAAAAATCTGGCCCTAAAAGTGCAGATTAAACTCACCAGCGCCACCCCGGTGGTGATCATACTGCCCCCTGAGGCTCCTATGACCACGATGTGTTTCTGAGATCGGGAGTAAAGGATCACTGGAGACATGGAGGAAGGCGGCTGCTCACCTTCACATAGATACACACAGAACAGATACTTATACCACAAAAATATTCTACATGTTAAACTTTATCGCCAGCATTTGTATTTTCATTAAAGAACTTACAAGAATTATTTCTTAATCCATGTATTATTTGAGCCGTGAAGCTGTCTAAATCAACATTTTTGATGTTGGGATACCGAAAAGAGTGCAGGGATCTATTTTTACTTGATCTAACCTATAAAAATGACTTGTGTTGGTGCAACCTAATTTAATTTAGTCTGATTAAAAGACATTTTGAATAAAAGCAATTAGTTATCACATGAGGAATGTTTTAGGTTACCTAAATGTACAGGTCCTTCTAAAAAAATTTGCATATTGTGATAAAGTTAATTATTTTCCATAATGTAATGATAAAAATTAAACTTCCATATATTTTAGATTCATTGCACACCAACTGAAATATTTCAGGTCTTTTATTGTTTTAATACTGATGATTTTGGCATACAGCTCATGAAAACCCAAAATTCCTGTCTCAAAAAATTAGCATATTTCATCCGACCGATAAAATAAGTGTTTTTAATACAAAAAAAAAAAGAGTCAACCTTCAAATAATTATGTTCAGTTATGCACTCAATAGTCAATACTTGGTCGGGAATCCTTTTGCAGAAATGACTGCTTCAATGCGGCGTGGCATGGAGGCAATCAGCCTGTGGTACTGCTGAGGTGTTATGGAGGCCCAGGATGCTTCGATAGCGGCCTTAAGCTCATCCAGAGTGTTGGGTCTTGCGTCTCTCAACTTTCTCTTCACAATATCCCACAGATTCTCTATGGGGTTCAGGTCAGGAGAGTTGGCAGGCCAATTGAGCACAGTAATACCATGGTCAGTAAACCCTTTACCAGTGGTTTTGGCACTATGAGCAGGTGCCAGGTCGTGCTGAAAAATGAAATCTTCATCTCCATAAAGCTTTTCAGCAGATGGAAGCATGAAGTGCTCCAAAATCTCCTCATAGCTAGCTGCATTGACCCTGCCCTTGATAAAACACAGTGCACCAACACCAGCAGCTGACATGGCACCCCAGACCATCACTGACTGTGGGTACTTGACACTGGACTTCAGGCATTATGGCATTTCCTTCTCCCCAGTCTTCCTCCAGACTCTGGCACCTTGATTTCCGAATGACATGCAAAACTGAGCAACAGTCCAGTGCTGCTTTTCTGTAGCCCAGGTCAGGCGCTTCTGCCGCTGTTTCTGGTTCAAAAGTGGCTTGACCTGGGGAATGCGGCACCTGTAGCCCATTTCCTGCACACGCCTGTGCACGGTGGCTCTGGATGTTTCTACTCCAGACTCAGTCCACTGCTTCCGCAGGTCCCCCAAGGTCTGGAATCGGTCCTTCTCCACAATCTTCCTCAGGGTCCGGTCACCTCTTCTCGTTGTGCAGCGTTTTTTGCCACACTTTTTCCTTCCCACAGACTTCCCTCTGAGGTGCCTTGATGCAGCACTCTGGGAACAGTCTATTTGTTCAGAAATTTCTTTCTGTCTTACCCTCTTGCTTGAGGGTGTCAATGATGGCCTTCTGGACAGCAGTCAGGTCGGCAGTCTTACCCATGATTGCGGTTTTGAGTAATGAAACAGGCTGGGAGTTTTTAAAAGCCTCAGGAATCTTTTGCAGGTGTTTAGAGTTCATTAGTTGATTCAGATGATTAGGTTAATAGCTTGTTTAGAGACCCTTTTCATGATATGCTAATTTTTTTAGAAGGACCTGTATATGTTTAAGTCATGTGGGTATATATTTTTTTAAATTATGGATGATACAGGTAAGCCTATAATTATATTATGTCTGATAAGCGATAAATGGCAGAGATTGTCTCTTTTGTCTAAATAAAAAATAAAACACTAAAAACTAAAACCAATCATTTGAATATTGCAAGCAAATTTAGGCACCGGAAACAATAAAATGTACAGATCAGATTTTTACAGATTTTTCGAAGGTGTAAATAAAACAAAGATTATTGGAGTATTTTTCAAGAAAACAATTTCAGTCTTTCTACTTCAAAATGTCCCATTTAATACAATATGTTTCTTGCCGTTGGTGAAATTTACTAGCAATTTCTGAGTAAAAATATAATTTTTCAGAATTGTTCTTTCATCTTCAAGTCATCTAAATGTAAAATAGGGGAAATTAGCATGCACAAATAAATATCTAATATCGTCTGATACAATCATTAAAAAAAATCTGTAATGTTGGCTGATAAACAATATGGTACCGATTTATTGTGCATCCCTAAATAACAGTGTGTGTCCACTTGTAAGTGTTCTCCTATTGTAGAATGTATATCGATACTGAAATATTCCATTAATTTTGGGAGCTGCATATGTATATTTGGGAGCCATTTGTGAAAGTTTACTAACCAGCATGAATCTGCTCTGTTTTTCCACAGAAGTCTGCGAGTTGATCATTGAGCAGGATGCCTGTTTTGGAGGAGAAAATTCTGGATCCAAACCTGAGAAACAAGAACAGCAAGTCAGTTTTGACACTTTCTAAAGTACCATTTTACTCCAGTATAGCATTGCGTTTATTAATAAAGTAATAATATAATGACAATATTATCTCATTGTGCTCTAGAGCTTGTATAAAAGGTGAGAATGATACTTGAGTGTACATGTGGTTGATGGTGCTGGTCACAGATACCGCCATCCCATCCTCAGCGAGCACGGACACATGAGTGGTGCCATGTGAGTCCAGGTATGGAGTGGCGTTGTAGTAGCTGGCATCATAAGTGCGGTCAGGGCTGATTTTTGCTCTCACTTTGTCCGCAAAATGCTTCTGAATGATCTCAACTGCCTCCTATTCAAGCCACACAGAACGTCGAGGATGATGAACTAATGCATGACTTTATGTGTGCCAACCAGTGGGTTGCCAGCAATAATGTCAGTGTTGCTGTGCTGTACTCTACTGCCTGCAGTAATGATCACCCAGAACACAGCACTTAAGTCATTATCGCAGATTACACCAGTGCCTCTAGAGAGTGTAATGACTGTAATGTTTCTGTTGAGTTACTAAAGCAGAGCCTGACCAATGGTATCATGCCTATAACGCTTACACAGAAGTTTAATGTGTAAAACAAACGAGTTCCTCCTACAGAGCCTACCGTTTTAGAGGCAAAGTTGGGATCTTTCATGAACTTCTTAAGACCGTTGGCAAATTTACAGGTTTCAACGTAACGTTGGAATGTTAAGACCTTCTCATCCCCCTCCATAGATGAAGAGTTTGGATTAAAACCTGAGGAGCACAGAGAACTTAATCAGTCTAACAGTTTAGAAACAACAACAAAACAAGGTTTTGTTAAATTGATCGTTAATATGATCGAAGAAACAATATATTCATCTTTTGAAGGATACCACAGTGCACCAAAAGACATTTGACTAAAAAGAAGTGATACATTACATTGTGCAATACAACATTGTGGTTGCTACAAGTGTTTTTAGCACATTGTTTTGTGGTTGCTTGCTATGTTGTTTCTCAATGGTTTTCTTAGTGGCAGACAGGGCTTGACATTAACACCTGCCAACTCGCCAGATGCGGGTGGATTGAGGGTTTCATTTTATATATAATATACCGGTATACATTTTTCAATTGTAGTCTTTTAAAAAAGGCATCTGAAATAATAAACTAAGTGCAATGTAGTGTTGTCAAAAATATAGATTTTTCGATATCGATACTGAAATATCTGAAATGCATCCAATACTCATTTTCCGCAGAATAGATACGATACCAGCTGCGCTTTTTCATCTCATCTCTCTGACAGCGAGTTTACACACAAACCCGACTCCCCTCACTCGCTCATTTCATTTGCTCCGGATGAGTATTGTTGCTGTTACAGGGCTTGAATTTCGCCGTGGGATTGCGTGTATTGCGCATAATTTTACTCATTACCACAGATTTTGTGCTCACACCCAAAGTGTGCACATAAAGCCGCCTCTCAGTACTAAATTTAGTCATTTTTTGCTGCTTATTGCACCTAAACAGTAAAATACAACCAAAATAATGTCAAAATGCCGGTCTTGGCGAGTTTTCACGTAAATACAGTCAGTTATGTTTTAAAGGTACAATATGTAAGAATTTTGTAATAAAATATCTGAAAAACCCTTGCACAGTGTTATATATTTCCTGCAGTTGTGTTCATACAATATCCCCAAAGTTCCCAAAGATTTTATTAATTTCAGAGTAATTCTAATTTTAAATAATGGGCCGTCCCTGTTTACTTGTCGCTTGTCAATGACGTAAAATCCGCGTTATCCCTGGTTTCCGCTCGTACTGCCATAGTAACCATGGCGACAGACGTGGACAACAGCGTTACGTCCAGTGGCACGCTCACGTTGTTGTTGTTTCGTTCAAACATTATGGACCATGGCAAGCAGACTTTGTGACAAAAGGAGAACTAAAACGAGGATCAATATCAGCGTGGCGTTTTCGAGATGCCGAGAGTTCCACGTCCGTGACAAACTTTGACTTGACAGAGACGCGAATGTTGCATGTACTTTATTAGACAGGTGAGCAAATGTACATAAAACTAATCAATGTTATATAGTTCAACATCATGCAATGTTAGAAAATGATCTGTATGTTATTCTAATGTTGATCTAGCTTCCTGCTAGTCTCATACAGGCAAACAAACTAACACATAGAATAACATTATAACTTTCACCACACTCAAATGCAGTTTAGTGTGATAGTGTACTGTAGACCAAGTGAAACAGCGCTGCGTTACCTCACAAGTTGAATTCGTCTAATAAACTGACCTGTGTGAGTATTAAAGCAATACCAAGGAACTTTTCCTCTGCGGTCGCCCTACAGGTTGGAAGCGGAATTGTCCATTTCCGCTGTCGTAAATAATTTAGCCTACCGTTGCACGCGCACGCTCGCTGTTTATCCAGCACCGGCTTTGGAATCAACAATGGCCACAGACAATTTGAGGAAGTGGTGGGGGAAGTGACGTATGCCGTAAAGCAGTCGAATTTTGTAGTTCTTTTTGTGCTCCGGTTACTACCCGATACCCGAAGTTACATAGTGGAAGTAAAAGCGATACAGACCACGTCAGGCTATGGCAGAAGTGTCATTTAACCTATTGTAAGTCAATGTACCATCACAAGGGTCTTGGAAATATATTTTGAAGGTTGAAAAACTACATAGTGTTACTTTAATACAGCACTTGCGGGTAGTTCGGGAGAATGAAATGTCCTCATTCCTTTATATCCGCGGGACTCGTGGGACTCGCGTTTGGCGCTGATATCTGTCTCTCATTAGCAATCGCGCCCTACTTTATCCCACAGTCATGTTAAAAACATCAATGTATTCACTCATCCATAAACATTATTAGATCCATCAACTTGACGACAAGTTCCATAATTCCGCTGGAATTTGCGTCATCTACCTACACCTTTGTTATTGTAAGAGGTTAGCGACCCCTAGCGGCGAATTTTTTTTTTACATATTGTAGCTTTAAGCAGAGGTGGGAGTAAGTCACACATGTGCAAGTCACAAGCAAGTCTCAAGTCTTAACCTTTGAGTCTCAAGCAAGTCCAAGTCAATTTTTTATAAAAGCAAGCAAGTCAAGTCAAGTCACTGCCTTATGTCAAGCAAGTCAAGTCAAGTCGTAGCTTGGGTCACAAGTCACTGGCAAGTCATACAAACGTTTGATGATTTCACTGAATTTATATATTAAAATAAGTTAAAACTACATAAGTTGTTGTGGACTATGGTTTTATTTGCAACATATTTTTTTTAAATATGCATTTCCACATACAGCTGAGTGGTTACTACAATAAAAATCTAAAAAATAAAAAATAAATACAATTTCAAACTACATAGCCTAAAATGTAAATGTAACTGAAATTAGGCCAACATTAAAGCATGAAAAAATAAATATGCCTCAAACATTGCAGAAGACCATTAAAAGGTATTAAACAATTCACAATTCAAGTATAATGGTTCCTATGCCACCAAATGGCATTCTTCAAACTGGCATCCCCTTTATATAAGTTATATAACAGCCGTTGGCATTTAGCCTATTATGAAGTTAAAACCGCCGATAGGTGGCGCCAAATCACCGTCTTAATGTACGAGTCATAGAAGCAGTCAACTGATTTGTTCAAAATGACAGATTCGTTCTGGAACTAAGCAACTAGGTCACTGAATCACAAATACGCATAACTCTTTCTGTGGCTTGTTTGGAACTATTGTCATTGGAGAAATAGAGCAAAAACAGAAAATATTTGGAATATTATGTCTAAAATGTCACATCACAATATTCACTCTTTGTTTACTGAACTGTTTTATAAAATCATCACATTTGCAATCGCGCCAATAATCTGGAAATATTTTTTTATATATGTTATAATTATGAAAATAACTCATAGGGCCATTTTTCCACCACATTTTGAATTTTGGGTGCATATTAATTCTGCTGGCATTTTTTCCACCAACCCCCTGATAACATTAAGAGAAACATAAACGACAAAACTAACAGTTTTCTATATTGTTTTTCGTCATTGGAAAGAACAACATTTTTGACATTAAAGCATGATTTAAAAAGAAATGTGGCAAATGTTATACAAAACATATACCATACTAAATTATCATTTGAATATTGACAACATTAAGCTACATTTGAAAACATAATTGTGTATAAAGAGGCATGCTGTTTTGACCAATATTATTCTCTCTAGATTTAAAGATAGTCAAATTAACTATAACAAACAGGTTAAACAAGCCATAGCTTACTTTTAGACGTGGTGAATGAAGTTCGACTGTTCGAGGTTGTGATGGTCGTCCGATATCCCTTGCCAGTTATTATGCGTACAACAAATCTTCTTGCATGAATATGGTCATTTTCTAGTGTTTATATCCAAAAAGATACGATGCAGGGAGATGTTTTTGTATTTAGCGCGCTCACCGCGATGTAGGCTATTTCTGGGCTTGTGCAGCGTCACGCAATCGCGCAGAATCTGATGACTGACGTCAATCGTTCCGTTGCTTTCATTTTGTTTATCAATGGATGTTGCGATGATTTATAGAAAAATGTATATCAAGTCATTCTCGAGTCATACAGTTCAGGTCAAGTCAAGTCTCAAGTCATTGGATCTCAAGTCAAAGTCAAGTCGAGTCATTTTCTTAATTTAGTCAAGCAAGTCTCAAGTCCTTAAATTTGCGACTCGAGTCTGACTCGAATCAAGTCATGTGACTCGAGTCCCCCATCTCTGGCTTTAAGTGAACGTAACCAGTTGAGAAAGAAAACGCATGTGTAACAGTATAATGGGTCTGTGTGTCAGGTCTTAAAGTGACAGAAACCTAATATACCTGCTGCCAAATTATGAGATATTACAAATATCTATATGTCAGTATGTCCCCATGGTATGGTATCGATGTCAAAATTGTGATCAGTGAAAAAGCTGAGTGGCTAGTAACTTTGGAAAACCACTAGCCACAGTGGCTGTTGAGCAAATAGTTAATGTCAAGCCCTGTTGGCCGAAGTCAAAAGAGCTCAAGTCAAGTCTTTATGATATTCTGGCCCCTTTACACCACAATTCAAAAGTATGGGGGTCAGTAATCATTTAATCATTAAACTTACATGTGAACAACATTAACTCTTCGGGGTCGCTGATCACGCCGGCGTGATCAAATCACATGCCCAGTTTAAGACGTCGAAGCATAAAAACAAAGTCACGTTGAGCGCTGCCGTCCACTTCTGTCGAAAGTGCTGGCTTGAAATTCTATTTTACTTTTTGTTTTGTGTTGATAAACCACGTAAAAACGGAGATATGATAATTTAAACTTTATATAAAAAAAAATGACGTGTATATTGACGCGTTCGTAAAAGAACGCAAGATGGGATGTGACAGACGTTGCTTTTATTCTAATAACTTTGTCGATTTTTGTCATAAAACAAAACGGAGAAAAACGTGTGAATCTGCTGACTCTGCTCTTTAGGCTGCACATTTTACGGAATGGAGGAGGAGCCAACTGAGCAAAGACGCGAAATTGAAAGGCAGGAGATTTACGGAGTAGATAAAGAGAGACATATATACGTTATATATAGAGAGAGAGATATTATTGCTAGTTTGAGTAGATTTTGAGAGTAGTTTGAATAGTGTAGATCGTTTAGGAGTAGTTTAGGTAGTTTAGGAGTAGATTTAGATAAACTGTTTTGAGGAGTGGCACAGATGAAAAAAAAAAAAAAAAAAAAAAAAAAAAAAAACCTGATATTTGTTGTATGTATAGTTTGATTTTGTGTTCATTTTACCTTTAGTATGGTATATTTGCACTATTGAGGAACCCCTCTTACTCAAGGAATGAAAGCCCTGTAATGTAGCTGTCTGTGTAATTGTACATTAAGTGTTTTGTAGAGTTTCTAAGCAAAAAAGAAAAGAAAAAAATGCCTATTGCCACACCTGCTTTTTGCTGTATATAGTTTGATTTTATCTCAATTTTACCTTTTTTTTATGTTGTATTAGCACTATTTGGGAGCCCTCATACTCTGGGAATGCAAGGCCTTAAATATAGCTCTCTGTAGAATTGTGTGCACTTTTTTTTTTTAAAGTGGCAAAGCTAAAAAGAAAAAAAAAAGCCTATGGCTACACCCGCTTTATTTGTAAATCATATTTGTTTTTGTATATAGCTTGATTATATCTGAATTGTACCTGTATTTGTTGACATTTACAACTTGTGTCTACATTTTAAACCTTTTAAAATGCTTCATTGAGCATGTTTGTGTTTTTTGTAGTAGAAAAGCTATAATTTTTCTATTCGGATTTTGTGTTTTTTGTGTGATTTTGGGTCCAGTATGTTGATACAGTACACCAAAGTGAAAAACTAATTGTCTGGTCATATAGGTGATGATGTGCTGAAAAAAATGATACCAAAAATTAGTATGGTAAACATTTGTTTATGTCGCAAAATTAAAAAAATTAAAAAGTAATCAAAAAGGGCCAAAATAGCCCAAGACTCTGAAGGGTTAATAGTGATGCTTGTCGTAGCAAGTACAACTAATAAACCTAATAAAGGACAAAGGTACAGGTTAATAAGTTGTCTCACCTAGCATGGTGTTGAGTATGAAGCTAAGTGTAGCTCCGCCTGCTGGCGGTGGAGGAAAGTACATGTCATACTCTCCTAGATTCACTTCCCAGGCATCGGATTCAGACGCCTTGAACAAACTCAAGTCCTCCAGAGTAATTGTTGCACCTGAAATACACAGTAAATAAACTGATTCCTGTATATTTATACAAATCGGAATAATAGAGAGTGACGTTGTGAATTACCTGCAGCTTGTATATCACTGACAAGGTGTTTGGCGATGTCTCCAGTGTATAAAGCATCCGCCCCATGTTCTGCGATAATCTCAAGTGTATCTGCTAGTTTCTCAAATTTCACTATGTCCCCCTCTTTCAATTGCTCACCTTGTTCATTCTGGAATAACTGGCTATAAAACACACACGCATCCAAGTGACTTTTTTGGTCTTAAATTTCATTATATAAAAAAAAAAAACCTCTTGGTGTAAAAGGGAACATTATGAGTCTGAATTCATTCTGAATGGGAGTACATGTGTTACCGTAGTGGTGAGTCTGGCTTCTCCTTTAAAAGAAGTGGCAAAAATCGAGAGAGCACATAGGGAATGCGGACGCCCTCTCTAGCCATCTTGATAGTGGGCTGAAATAAACTGGCCCACGGCAGACGTCCATACAGTTTATGAGCTCGCTCATAGCCACGGATATCACCCGGGACACCGATCCAGTGAGCCCCTATAGAGAGAGAAAGAGAGATAAACTATAGCTATATGTGCTTAAAGTGCTCGATGCACTACGAGTTTTGTAAATATAAAAAATGAGACGACTACTTCCAGTGTAAAGCATAACAAGGTCTGTAAGTAAAGAAAGAAACAGTGCACTGAATCTTCCCCAAGGGGCATTGTACATTATTTATCTAAGTGTATCATATTTTATGCAGGAAACACTTTATTTACACTATCAGCATATTTAAAGGTGAATAATGTGTGATAGAAACAATACTTTGTGTGGTTGCAAGAAACAAAAGTTCATCCATCTTAACACACTCTCACCTTCCGCTGTGTAAATTGTTGTTGGGCACATGGCAAGAAGGTCTGTTTTAAAAGCTTTTGGGACAGTCTCTCTGGCATTGATTATTTTCACTTTGCCTAGATAACAAAGATATTGATAAATAATAACAAAAATATACATTATACCTTACATAGAAATAATAAGTAATTTAAGGTATGTATGTAGGAATCTCACCACTTTGTTCCCGGATTGTAAATATAGAGCCGCCACCGATGCCCATGCTCTGGGGATGTATGATTGACGTGCACAGCAAAGTAGCAATGGCGCCATCTACCGCTGACCCACCAGACTGCAGTATATCTCTAGGAGAAAAAGACTGAAAAATGAGCTGTGGGATACAAAGGACCTCCAAATATGATGATCCCCCTGCAAAGGGCCCTTTTCCTAAAATTTAAAGGCGGCTATAGTTATGTAACAATATAGAAAATTAGTAGTTTCCCAAATTAAATAACTGAAATAAATTGACAGCGTATCAAGGCCCTTTCGCACCAAGGGCGATAACTATAACAATAATAACGATACAGAAGATACAGGCCTAGTTATAAAAATCATTCTAAATGTAAAAGTTAAGTTAAGGAAAGAACGCAAAGAACCTCAGTTAAGGAAAATGGCACAGAAAAAAGAATTCGTTGGAATCACTTTGAAAATTGTATAAAGAATTTTAAAAACATTGACAGCCAATCAGAATGACATAACTGAAGCGTGTTTAAACAGAATGTTATCGTGCGTTTGGTGTGGATGCAAATTAGTTATCATCATAGTTATTTTCTTTATTGTTGATGTAAACGGGCCTTTATTCTACATATTTGGTCCAAACCAGAGTTCGATGCTCCCTCTTCTCCTGCAGGATTCTGTTCAGACTGTATTTTTTCCAGTCATTACCACAGAACTTTTTTTGTCATCGTAGCGGCAGCTATTGTTCAGGGCCGCCCGTTCAAACCAATTGCCTGCTACTTCTGAATCTGATTGCTTTTAGGGAAAGCTGCTCAAACTGCTGGTCTAGGATCAGTTATCTCCGCAATAATAGCATATTGGCAAAACTTTTGTCAATCGATCCAGTGAGTGTCTGTTTGCGCTCAGGAGAACTGTAAAGTCAAAATTAAGTATGTGTTCTGAGTTTGTCACACCACAGAAAAATGTGTTATTAGTCACCCAGCCAAATTTGAATGATAAAAAAGCCAGCAAGTACATAAAATAAGCTATCAAAATCTTGAAAAAATGAGCAGTATTCTCTGCTCTCAAACGCTGGGGGCGTGTCCACTGGCTGCGCTGAAACCACGCCCACTCGCGGGAAAGCTGCCGTCATCGACTCGCCACACTCAACTCTACAGCCGGAATGGATGCTCGCACGGTGGGCACGCACTGCCGATGATGGCACCAGTTGTCGGCGCGACTGGAGGATGAAGGCTGAGACGGGAGATAGTCGGTTCGGCCCCATTCACCAGTAACATCGGATTATCAGTGAATCCCAGTTGTCTCTGATGAAACTATCCCGTGTAAAATGATCACTTACAGAGGTGGGTTTTGGCGGTGATCCTCAGCTCTTCATCAAGGTGGCTCTTCACAAAATTAATCCACTTCTTCTTGATGTAATCGTTTTTCGGAAATGTAAATAAGGACACCGATCTGTTTTGTACTGATCCGGTGATCGCATCCAGGTAGTAACGTTATGCATTTCCGTGACAAAGGCATAGCTAGCTAGCAATCTGTAGGCCGTTACTAATAATAGTACTGACAGTAACTCGCGAATGAGCGGCAAACTAATGTGAATGTGCTCTATATATAATATTGTTAGGAGCGGCCAGCCTCACCGGCTTTAGTGCGTCATCAAGTAGGGGCGTGTCCAGGAGCTCAAGGGCTCCAGTGCGTCATCGAGCCCCGTTTTAGCCCCGCCCGGAAAATAGCAATGGTGAAAAACTGTTTAACGGTCTAACTCCACAATTCAGTACTTCACAGTTCACAGTCTTTGTAATATGTTTAATCAATACATTTCTAACATTTATAATGTGTTTAGAATTTTTTTTTGAAATTGCCTTTACAGGGACTTTAAAGGTTTCTATTTACAATGTGTTTTTGCAGCGTTGAGCAGTGTGGCCCATGGTGTGGCCAATCACAAACATATCTGTTGTATTTCTTGAAAGCGATGGCCAATCAGATGTGTTTAAGTTAGCACTGATTAAAAACACTGGCATTTTGAGTGGTGAGTGGATTCGGAGTTCTGCACGCCCACCAAATCCTCTCAAATAACAAAGTGTAGACATTATAATTAAATATTCATTGTGCAGTCAGCTTCATTGACTATAATGGAAGTTTGTGAGATTGCAATGAACTGAGTGACAGATTTTTATTGATTATAAAGGGAGCGCTTGTATGCTCCTTTTCTGTTAAAATGAACAGTGGCTTGTGAACGTCGTAGACGCTTAAATAACACATATATTTTTATCGGGAGCGTTTATGCTGGAATGTGTAGGTTTTGCGGTGACACATAACTTGAATCTATTTCAAGAAAATCTATTTAAATGTGTTTCTTCTAGCCACCCTGCAGGTTCACCCTCCGCATATACTATAGCCTATATATGATATAGGGCCGTGTGTGTTTGTGTGTGTGTGTGCTTGCCTTTAACTATGACGTCTGGCTCACTTGTTCAGCAGGTTTCACTATAATTTTTTTTAACAGTGAGGACATTTTGAACCTCGCAATCAAACCTATAGGGGGAGACCAGGTATGGTTGTAACATCGGGAGAGTTGTAACACCACCAATTCCACCAATCAGGGATAAGCTAGGAGTCCTATGATCATTTCATTATTTATCCACGTCCTCCCAGATCCCATATGAATGGTTGTCAAGGCTACATGCAGATTTTATAAAGAAAAAGCTGATTTTTAGGTACAAATATAATTTTAATTAAAACTATATATTTTTTTCATACTTAAACTTTTGCAGATAAAATCATATAACTTATATTACATTAAATTGTAGTTTCTCAGGCAAAATAAGATGCATTTTTAACCTGTTCATTTCAAACTATTACGCTAATACGGCTAAACACTGGCTGACAGGGGTGAGGTTGGAGGCTAACACATGTTTAAAAAGTGTTACAACCATACCCTTACATATACAACTAACAACAGTTTATTTGAAATCATTTTATTATAATAACAGAATGCCTAGAGAGGGAAAAGAATGAGTGTGCATGCCAGTGTTTTATAAAAAAGGAACTGATGAGGTTTCAAAGAAGGGCAGATCAGTGAGATCAGTTGCGACAACAATGTTGAAGGCCAGTGGTGAGGATTCTGAGACCTCATACAATGAAAACTTTTATGTTGTCTGTATAGAGCCATTTGGCAAATCAAAGTAAAAGGAAGTGTGGGTAAAATGTGCCCGTCTCTGGGCCCACCAAGCCTGCATTCAACAACACAGATTTGTTTTACCATTGTTACTCTGATTGAGAATATTCACACATATACACTAATTTACACTTTTGTTGTTGTTTTGTTAGACCTATGCTCTTTACACAGGTACAATGCAGTTGAGTGTTCATTAAAGGTACATGTAGGATTTTTCGCCACCAGGGGTCGCTAACCTCTTATACAATACAATACAAAAGGCGTATATCTATGACGCAAAGAATTAAGCGGAATTATGGATCTTGTTGTCAAGCTGATGGATCTTTTATGGATGAGTGAATACTTTGATGTTTTTAACATGACTGGGATGGAGCAGGGCGCGATTGCTAATGAGAGACGTAAGTTATACCGCCACACGCAACGTGAGTCCTGCGGATATAAAGGAATGGACATTTCATTCTACCGAACTACACGCAAGAGCTGAATTAATACTCACACAGGTCAGTTTATTAGACGAATTAAACTGACCTGTGTGAGTATTAATTCACACAGGTCAGTTTATTAGACGAATTAATCTTGAGGTAACACAGCGCTGTTTCACTTGCTCTAACAGTTACACTATCACACTAAACTGCATTTGAGTGTGTTGAATGTTGTTAGTTAGTTTGTTTGTTGGCTATATGAGACTAGCAGTAAGCTAGATCAACATTAGAATAACATACAGATCATATTCTAACATTTCATCATGTTGAACTAAATAACATTAGTTTTATGTACATTTGCTCACCTGTAAAGTAACTTACATGCAACACTCGCGTCTCTTGTCAAGTCGAAGTTAGTCGCGGACGTGGAGCTCTCGGCATCTCGAAAGATGTTGATCTTCGTTTTAGTCCTCTTTTTGTCTCAAAGTCTGTTTGCCATGGTCCATAATGTTTGAACAAAACAACAACAGCGTGAGCGTCCTTCTAGGCATAACCCAGTTGTCCACGTCTGTCGCCATGGTTACTATGGCAGTACGAGCGGAAACCGAGGGAAACGCGGATATGACGCCATTGACTGGCGACTCCTCACCCCTGCTGACACGTCCCGTTTCCTTGGTTAAAATCGCAATTTTCTCACGATTTACAAATAGTTGGAAACATTGGGGATATTGTAAGTAATCAACTAAACAAAATATATAACATTGGCCTAGTGGTTTTTGGATATTTTACTGCAAAAATCCTACATATTGTACCTTTAAGCATAAATACTGCTAAGGAAGTTTGTTTGTGTATTGTTAAAGTGTCTTCGAGCTGTGGTCGATCACAGAAGAGGCATTGTTTTGTATTGTTCTTTTTTTTTGGATTGTTTCAGTAAACCTGTTTTTGAAGAATATTGCATGGAGTGACTGCTGTTTTTGCTTCTTTTGTCTAATTGTTATAACTTACCCCAGCATGTGTTACAACCAACCCTGGTATGGTGGAATAGTTTGTAACGGCACACCATGTATTTGACATCAATAAGGGCTGTGATATTACAGAGATTTGAATGGGTGCATTTTGTAGTAAACAATGTGGGTACTTTACTTTGTATAAAAGTTCAAGCACTCTACCTCAAACATTCATCGAGTTACATATGCTGAAGCAAAAAGTGTTACAACCATACCTGGTCTCCCCGAACACACAATTTGACCAAATCACATTGGTAAAAGCTTTCAAGCCATAGCTCAAAAAGTTCTAGAATTAAATAATCCTTTTTTAGCTGCTGTCAAAATATAATGCAGTCAATAAAATTAAAATATCGCAATTAATCATATGATTTCCAAAAAAGCAGAGTGAAACAGTCAGTATAATCAATAATTTGCCCGTCTATGTTAAAAACTGTTGTCTCTTGAACATGTTACATTGACATGTTAACTTTAGTCAGCAATGAAATACAATTCGACAGATCCTTTTTGCCTTCCCTTGACTGTTTAACACCCCCTGGGCTAATTGTCGAGGAACTGTTGATGAGAGAGATTAAAAAACTAAATAAAAAAAACACACACGAGGAAGTAACTTGGAAAATACATTACCAAACATATTAAACATATTCCAATTGTTACAGCAGACAGTCGCGTATCATAAGCGCGTTGAGACCCGTCATACGCAGGAATAATGATTTTTATTTACAAATTAAATGATCTATAGACGTCTTTAATGATAAGCCTACTTTCTAACCACAGGACTGTCACCTTTCAAAGACCCATTTCTAACAGTGTTTCTTCTAAAGAAACAATTGACAAACAAGCAACAGACTTAAATCTACAACATTGTTGAAGTAATCGTATAGGCTGCTGATGATTTTTTAGCTATATAGGGCTAAATGATCAGTTGTTGTCAAGGAATGTCTCCTTTAGTGAAATGAAGCCAAAGATTTGTCAATAGGATTACTAGGCTGTGAAGATACTTCAACTGATTAACTTCCAACTTTCTGTGAATATCTAACCGGACGTCTCACCTCATTAGCCACTTGTGTCCTCAAATTTACCTGACCCAGCCATCACACAGGATTACAAGAACCTTGTCATTTTCCAGAAAACGTGATATCCCGCATCATTATGCTTGTTCGATTGAAAGATTCGGAAGCTATTTTAAATTATTTTCTAAAACATTAAAGTAATCATCCGAAAGCACACTATTTATGATTCAGACGTTTCAGAATGCAAATAATTATTGTAGCCTATACAGTAAGGCACCGAGTATCTACCATCACTTACCGCCCAATCTTTGAACAGGTTTCCGAGTCCGCTGCCACTGCTCCTTTTTTGTAGAGTCCCTCAGCGCACTCCTCGTTAAAGTGAGCCACGCAAATAATTATAATTACAATAATACATATAAGCGGAATACTCATAAACAAACAAACTTTCTCTTTTCGTCTAGCCATTGTAACCCGACCTAGTGCGTCTTTGCTTTATCACTGAACTTCTTCTCGCGTAGCCTACAGCAGCTGCACTTCCACAATTATCCCTCCCCTTCTTTACACTGTCAACGCATAATTAAGCGCATTGTCAAGGTGTAGAGGTCGAGTCTAAAGCGGATTGCGGAAAGTGTTGCTGTAAGAAGCGTTTTTGCACTCTCCAAATGCCATTTGGCAGACTTTATTCACACAGAGACGTTACCACTGGAGCAAAGGGCTGGACGACCACCTGGCGTTTGTTTACATTTAGGCTACAACCTTTTGTTTCTCACCACCACATATGTTGGGTCTCAGAAATTCCTGCCACGTGAAAAGTGAGTTACCACAGCCATTTCTTCCTAACATGACTCTTAACACTAACAGTTTTGTTGATTAGTTTGATTCTGTTAAAAATACTAATTAACTAAAAAAATGTCACCCTGTTTACATTAGATTACTCCAACTAAACTCTGTTTAGTTGGCTTGATTTTGTAATTTTGTGGTATGTTTCACTTTAATGTAGGCTATCCGTCAAATCAGATGTTACATGGTGCACATTTCTGTAAAACATTACAATTTTTTTTACAGTGTAAGGCAAACATCTCATATCCTATCAACCTGTAGCCTATGTCAACAAAAAAAGGATTTATTCAGAAATCATTCATATTGTAAAATGTCTTTCAATCACTGAAAAAAAATATTTTCATGTTTTATCACAACTTTTTTTTCTTTTGTCAAATCAATCATTACTGTGATTTAGATAAAACTATTTTCAGTTTCTGTTGATTAAACCATTCTTCGTTGATTTAACAATTAGTTTTAATTTTCTACTCAAAATTGTAAGGCAACCAGGTAACTTACTTTTTTAAGTTACTTATACTTTAACCAACAATTTGTTTTGTTTTTTACATACAAGAGACCATGCTATTGTGAATGTAGTCACGGCTAAACAAAAACATTTCAACCGTTAAAAAGTTTCAGCGGAACGGGTTTGCTTTCTCCATGTAGGCCATGTCATGTGACGTATGAAGTCATTCAGTGTTCCCCGCCTCCATTTTCATGTGGCTTCATCTGACAGTAAAGCCCAACCTATACTTCAGTTTTATCATGTACGCTACTATGTGATTATAATTGGATGTCATTAGCATAGTATGTGCCCAAAGTATACTTCAGTTTTACACTTATGTTAGGATATATACAGTCAGTGCAAGTGAAGTACCATTCACCATCATACTGAATACGTGCAGCCATATTTTTCTAACCACGCAGAAACAGACGGAACAACAACAAACTACAGGAGACTGCAACAGCAGACTTTCTCACAGACAAGCACTTGTGTGAAGGCAGTTAAGAGTCATCTTTATTGGTCATAACTTCTGGAGAGAAATAGAGTAGGCTACACACTGGACAAGGATGAAACTTTCTAGTGCACACCCAGATAGCACAAGTCTATTTGATGTTATATTTACATCTGGAAGACGTATTTTTAAGAGTGTTTGCTCATCTGCCAGACGTCTAGGACGTTTCCTGTCAGATGTCAAATAGACGTTTAGAAGATGTCAGTTTAACATGCATTTTAAATCATTACATCTTAAAGACATCTTCTAAACGTCTATTTGACATCTGACAGGAAACGTCCTATAGACGTCTTGCAGATGAGCAAACACTCTTAAAAATACGTCTTCCAGATGTAAATATAACATCAAATAGACTTGTGCTATCTGGGCATTATGTTGAGCGTGCTATCAAAGTATTTTAGGGCTGCCAACTCTCACGCATTCAGCGTGAGACTCACGCAATTGAGCCAATTCTCACGCTCTCACGCCACACCCCCGATTTCTCACGCTGAAGTGTCAACCCGGTCGGTCAAATGCCTGAAAGATAAGTTTATCTATAGATCTAGCATTTGAGGCACACCCCCCCCCCCTCCCCCTCCCCCTCCTCCTCCTCCTCCTCCTCCCCCTCCCCCTCCCCCTCCCCCTCCCCCTCCCCCTCCTCCTCTCTCTACCATTTGAGCCAGCCACCCCACCACCATTTGAGCCAGCCACCCCCCCCCCCCCCTCTTCCCCCTACTCCCCCTCCCCCTCTCTCACGCCAAGCTAAACTCAAAAGTTGCCAGCTCTGATTTGCATCAAACCTGAAGTTTACTTTAGACTTGAAGTGCCCACTGAATGTGCATAGCCTGCACGTAGATATGTATAGGCCTACTATACAGAATTTTATGCATATGCTATTCGGACAAGAGAAAAGCTCTGACATTACATTGTGCTATCCAAAAAAAATTTGAAACCCACTATGGGTGTTGGATAGTGACATGTTGAACAGATATTTAATGTCATTGATTATAACAGGACTGGAATATTGTATTGGCTGGATCGTTGTGGTTTGTTATTGCTATCTCGTGCGCCCTCGCGCCAGTAAACTTCTTTGTCCGTTATGATTTCATGGTGACAGCTGTTAGAAAGCAAAATTGTATTTATGGATAAGTGTAACTTAAACTAAACCTGCATATGACTTGTAAACTTTTTCAAGTAGCCTTCGTAGTATTTTTGTGAGGTAGGCCTATCTCATATGAGGGCTGGGTAAAAGGGGAGGTCCTTAATGAAATCTATCTTTGATTCGCCCACTGACGCAACCCCACCACGGCACATAAGGAAACGGTTCATCTCGTGTGTCACCTCAAGGCAAGTTTCAAATTTGGCACAGACTGTGTATTCTGAACAATGGCAGGTTTAATTTATGCGAATGCAAACCATTTTGAACAGGATATTATAGGCTAGCCTGTAAAGCAGACTTCCGCAAAACTGTTGGCTACTAGCCTACTGAGATGACATTGAAACCAATATAAGAGTAACAACAACACCAAAAAAACTAATCGACGAAGACCATTTGCAACATACTATCAAGATATTTTTAAACAAACCACAAAGCGTTACATTTGTTGCGATTCCATGGGGAAACTGGTCTCACGAGCATGACGTCATATGAAGTTGTCGGCTTGGCATATAATGCACCATGGGAATTGTAGGCTGTTGTGTCACTTGTAACAGCTACTAATGCTTTTATTATAACACGCACTGTGCGAATAAAGCTGCCACATATAAGAACCACGTGGCAGAAGCAGGATTTACTCTGTTCACTTTATCATAATTATCCGTGATATAGCCTTGTTGTTGCACTTTATATTCATGAATAATTAAAAAATGAATTAATATAACAATAACAAATCGTTGAAATCTTCTGAATCTTTTTCAAATCTATCCATTCATATTAAGTGTTTTTTGACTAACGCAAACCTTTTTCAAACCTTTGCGTAGCCTATTGAATTAACAAGGAGAGAAGGGAGACTGAAGAATTCTGATTGTGTGAATGACTGATTATTTTAATTCATAATTTATTTAGACTAATTTATTGTTGTCTTGATTAGGCTACTGTTGAAATGAAAGAGAAATCAATATTGTTTTTGTAATTTATTGGGAAACCGTTTTAAATGCTTAAACACTCTTTCTCTTATTGGTATGTGGACAGCAAATTTTAATGAAGATAATACAATTTATTTCCATGGACGAGTCATTGTTTTGTAGCCTACTAATCATTTTTGTGAAAGATTCATGACTCTTTCGCTCGAGCACAAAATCGGCTTGTCCACCTACCGGTTAACGATATAACCCGCAGAGAGGCTGTAACCCAATACAATAATTCATTTTTATATTTTATGTAATAAAAATTACTTTGGTGAACGGATAGAAAAGATTCGAGTAACTGGGATGATTCAAAATCCTCACCACTACTGACAGTTACACCCCTCTTTATGCGGTTTACAACCTGCATGCATAGTAAGGGGAAGCTTGATTTTAATAGCGAATTTAAAATATTATTTGACCTACAATAAAATTATATATTGTCCATGTTAATGGTGCTATTATAGGCATTATCGATATTAATAATATAATGAAGCATTTGTTATGGTTTCAGTAGCCAGTCAGTCAGTAGCCTTAGCCTATGCGTCTTCTAAACGCCCAGATTTCAATGATGAGACGTCGGGCGTCTGTCATGTTGTTTTCTGCCCGGTTGTCTCTGGCGTTATGGACGTCGTCTGACAGCGCTTTACGGACATAAGGGCAGGACTAGAGACTGCAATGAAACAGCGACAGGGGGGTGTCTGAGAGGGAAGTGTAGAGGAAGAATAACTGGCATTGCTGGGCGGAACAGTCGCTGAAAATCTGACAGACAAGAAGTGCCGCGCAGTTCTCGGTAAATATCAATTTGAATGAACGTCATTTGCGCATTGACTCGTTATAATCGTAGCCTATTATTGCATGCTGGATCTCTTGATTTTTAGCTGGGGTTTCTTTTTCTTTGTGCTGTGTTATTGTACGCATTCCCCTGCTGTTACTCTCTCTCAATCTGTCTGTGTTGACAGACGCCGGGTTTGTTTTTGTCTTTCATCTCTACTAGCCTGTCAGGATGCATTGCATTCTAACCGAAGGGTCCTAATGCAACAGTAATGCAACAATTCCCTGTTCTCTTCGTGTAAGCCAATTAGGCTCTATGGTCTAATTTGTTCCTTCAGGTTTGTGTTGACTGTATTGCAGTATACCTTGAAATTCTCTCATGACTCATGATTCTAAAAAGTGCAGTGCGGAGGTGTTGCAAAGACTGAATTTGAAATGTCATGCCCGTCTGTGTGTGCTGCGGTCTCTATCAAGCTGCTCGTCGGTCTGTGCGTGAGTGTGTGTATGTGGGGGATGTGTGTGTGGGTGGGTGGTATATAAAATGATCATGTGGTCAAACCGGGCTGTCAAGGCAGGTGTGATGCAGTTTGCCTCATCGGCAATGTCGGCATAGTGATATTCTGCTGCACTTTATCACAAAATGTTCTTATATCTTTTTTCTTTTTTTTTTGCTCTCTTTTCCAGGTGCCCTCCGGTGCACTGTGTCTCTGTTGGCTGGGATCAGGAGGCGAGGAGCAGCTGAAATATCTCACACTATCAACATTTCCGAATGCATTGAAACGGATGAGAAAAGCTCGCTTGAATTAACCAAAGCGACTGGAACGCGATCCAATTAGACAAAAAGCTCTTCGAAAATGAAGCAAAAACACGAGGCAGCGTCACTTTACTAAAACAACAAATCAAACCGAACCCAACAGATAAGAATACTCAAAATCATATCTATGTACGTCTAAGAGTGTGTGTTTGAGTTGGAGTGTGAATCTATGTTCGTATGCAGGGATGGAGTGGTCTTTAGAGCGGATGAGGGAATGGGTGGCAGGTGGCATGCAGTCGGTGCGAGAGTGTGAGACCAGTGCTCTAGGCACTGCTCTTTGTCTCGCCTTTCTGTTTATCTGGTACTGCTACCGCGTGGGATGCGAGCACGCCGTCCCTTCGCTCCGTGGTGGTTTCAGCCCAGAGCCACGTGGCGGAGCCCTACCTGGTGGAGTTCTCGCCTCGGATCTCTCGGCCCGCGGAGGCTCGTCGAAACTCCGTCAGGTCGGAGGAAGCGGTGTCAGCGAGGAAGAACTCAACGGCTTCGCCTACTGCCAGTCAACTGAATGCTTCCGTTGCTCCAAGCCTGGCGAGGGCCTGAACCAGCGGCTCTACCATAGCCTGCAGGAGTACGCCAAGCGCTACACCTGGGCCGGCATGGGCCGCGTCCACAAGGGCGTACGCGAGCAGGGCCGCTATCTGCTCTGCAGCCGGCCCTCCATCCAGAAACCTGAGGTCTTCTTCCTACCGGACCTTCCCTCGGCTCCTTTCTTCTCACGGGAGGCGCAGAAGCATGACGTGGAGCTTCTGGAGAGAAGTTTCCCTGCACTTCTGGCCGAATTCGAGAGCGTGTACCGGCTGCCGTCCAGTCGGACCGGCTCCTCGCTTCCACTGGGCTGGAAGGCCAACAGCACACCCCGTGGCCAGTGGTGGACCTTCTATCTGGTGAACCAGGGAACTCCGATGGTGCTGAACGCCAGGCGGTGTCCGCGTACGTGGAGGGTGCTCGGCCAGCTCCGTACCTTTATTGCGAATAATGTGTTTGGAAACGCCTGCTTCTCAGTGCTCAGTCCTGGAACAACCATCACTGAACACTACGGCCCAACCAACGTACGCCTGCGCTGCCATCTTGGTAAGAGGTCAAAGGATGTGAATCTATGTACACTACCTGTTGAAAGTTTGGGCACAGCTACTTATTGTTTATTATTTACAAATATTTTACAACTACATTTTAGAATAATCTCATCTATACTGTGACATAGTGTATCACAGATGGATGTATGGAAATGTTTATAATAATATTGAATTACACTACCATTCAAACATTAAATTGTTCAGCAAGAATGCATTAAATTGCGAGTTAAGTTCACCCCTATTTATATTTCAAATAAAGGATGTTCTTTTAAACTTTCTATTCATCAAAGAATCTAGAACAAAAATGCAACATGGTTTCCACAAAATATTAAGCAGCACAGCTGTTTGAAATATTGATAATAATACAAATATTTCTTGAGCAGCAAATCAGAATGATTTCTGAAGGATCATGTGACACTGAAGACTGGAAAAATGATGCCACCACAGGAATAAATGACATTTTAACATCTTAAACTTGTAATACTTCACAATATTATGTTTTTTACTGTATTGTAATAAAAAAAAAATGCAGCCCAGGTAAGCAGAAGATCTTAATATTTCCAAACCTAAACTTTTTTTTAATGGTGTAATGTTAAACAAATCATATTTGATCATCTTCAGATTCACAGCCCAACTTCATCAGTTTTGATGAAGAGTTTGCATGAATGCTGGATACTTGTTGGATGCTTTACTTTTACTAAAAAACTTTTAGTTATGTAAAGAAATTAATATATAAGTTTATATTTCTCTACAGAACTGATTTCAAGCATTTTCAAGATCATGAGAAAAATAAACTTTAGCCGAACGTTTCCAAACATCTGACTGGCAATGTATGCATTATATGTGACACCAGCAGTCTGTGCCTGTTTAAGGTATAGCCATTTTCCCTCTGTGTGTGCAGGACTGAAGGTGCCCTCTGGTTGTGAATTGGTAGTTGGTGGAGAGCCGCAGTGCTGGTCTGAGGGAAGCTGCCTGCTGTTCGATGACTCTTTTCTTCACACTGCATTTCATGATGGTGAGAAACAGAAACAGTGTGCAGAATAAGTATAATAGATTGTGGTGCAATTAGAAATAAATCATTTGAAAATGAATACATTTGGAAAAACTAAATTGAACCTGTTAAAAATGAACATGTAACAGATTTATACTTTAAAGAGGAATTTATGAATTATGTAGTCTAATAATCTACAGTAAATAATAATATAATAATCCTATTATAGTATTTTTCATGCATAAAAAAAGGCTAAAAGCAAGTAAATACTGTAACCAACAGTGTACTTAGTAATCTAGTTTTTGCACACTTGGAATCATATTTTTACAGCTAACACTAATTTTACAGTACACAGTGAATATGTCATGATTCATGAATATGACAATGAAAAACTGGATATAGCACAGCATAATTTGAAATCTTTTTTTTTTATACTTGCTCTTTCTTGTCCAGTGATAGCTGATAGCTCCTGTCTGTAACCAATTCACACAATACACATGTTTTTATACAGGCTATGCACACTAGATCTAACAGCTGGATATGTCGCAGTTTTTCAGGTTCTGGCCATTAAATGTTTATTAGATGCTCAAAGACTTGTTTAAAATGCGTATTTGCTGAATGCTGACAGTATATGAAAAAGTATTATAGTATTTGCTTTTCAATTATTAGACGGAACTGTTAAAGGGATAGTTCACCCCAAAATGAAAATTCCGTCATTAATTATTCACCCTCATGTCGTTCCAAACCTGTAAGACTTTCGTTCATCTTCAGAACACAAGAAGAAGGTTTTGATGAAATCTGAGAGCTTTATGTTCAGAGAGTAAACTAATGAAGGCTAAGAATAGGAGCTCCATGCATCTGTATTCAAGCACTGCGTCTCTCAGCTCTGTCAAAAATACAAGTCCTGCTTATGACACTTTTTGGCCAAACAGAAAAACGTATCGATGCAAATAATTAAAAAATGCCAAATATCGGCCAATATATCTAGTGTGCAGTTAGTTGCACTAAGAAAAGCTTCACTATTTCTGTTAATCATATTTTATTTACCATATATTATGAATTATATATTATAACTAAATTATGAATGATTCTCTAAAACATTTTAGGGGGGATTTTTTGAGGACAGGTGTGCACTGTGCAGGTAATTCTGTAAGAGATCAGACTTAAAGTCCACAGGAAATCAAAATGGAAGTTTTTTTGGCTTTTAGTATGTGTTAGTTGTTATCTATAATCTAGTGTGCTCCAAAACAATGACACAATTAGTATTTAGAAGATATAAGCATTCAAAACTTACAGTCTCTGTCTTCCGACAAATATGGATCAATGATTTTGATGACATCACTCTGCACTTCAGCTTCTCATCTGATTTTCTGTCCAATCAAATGCTCTCTAGAATCTGAAGCGTCCCGCCCGTTGTACATTATAATTATACTGCGGCTAAAATCGGTCACTTGTTCACACAATTAATATTAACAACCACAGCGCGCACACAGTCTGCTCCGGTTTATAGACACGATAGCACCGAGCGGATCATATGCACGAGTCGGCGCAGACCACATAACGTTTGGCGTATTCTGCATAGAATGCTATATTTTAAAGAGATATGGAGGAAAAACGGTTCGATTAGAAGGAAACTGTGGCTTTACCGAGCTCAATGGCTCTGGCCAGCTGATATAAACGAAACGCTATTGGCTATTTAAAAAAGGGGAGGAGCTGTTTGATATGTCCCGCCCATAGACTGTAAAAAAAAAATGGACAAAGCGTCTGTGACGTCACCCATAGACTTTCTGAATAACGGTTTTGAGGCCGTTTATGGGGGGTATCTTTTGAAAATCTTGGGAAATCCTAACCCCGCCCACCTTCTGGCCAATCCATATATGGGTAAAAGGGCGGCTTTGTGTGAGACTGAGCCGGCCGATGGACGCGCCTCTTCAGCCAAGCAGCCTCAGCTATCTGTACCGTTACAAGATCGACTGGCAGACAGTGGTGGAGGAAGTACTGAATCTCAGTACTTAAGTAAAGTACAATTAACCAGAGACATATTTACTGTAGTGAAAGTAGAAGTACCACAATGACAACCCTACTTAAAGGAGAACTCCGGCGCAAAATGAACCTTTGGTCTAATTACACATTGTTACCTAGTCAACCGTTATCTGAGATTTGTTTTCATGATTATCGAATGCAAATAGTTTTATCTCTAAAAACAGTTTAGCCTATAAAGCTAGTATAACGCTAGTATATTGGGCATCGAGTAATGACAAATAAAAATCGCTTGTTAATACCACTAACAAGGCTCAAAATAGCCCCACACTAACACGGTAGCATAATGAGGGTCCCTACCTTCAAACCGAAGCATTGAGAACTTTGTCAGTGTCCAGACAGTTTAATAAGAAGATATTTAATACATACAGTCAACTTCGCGTATACAGACAGAAGCCATCTTTGAAAAACAGTCTCTACCAGTTGATCTACGAACGCCGATCCAAGTGCGCTGGTGAGATGTGAACGAGCTATAAGTTGTGATAAGGTGAGCGCGAACAGCAGGCTTGGATCGGCGTTCGTAGATCGACTGGTAGAGACTGTTTTTCAAAGATGGCTTCTGCCTGTATACGTGAAGTTCTTTAAGTCAAAAGTAAAAAGTACCTCATTTTAAATGTACTTTAAGTATTAAAAGTAAAAGTACTTGCATAACAATTAATTTTCTTAATGTCTATATTCTAATGATTAATAAAACAGTTAATCCTAACTCATTGAACCTAATAATCCTATAATGATGTTCAATAATGATGGAAAAGCCGTTATTTTTTTTATTTTTTTTTACCATTTCTGAACAAGCTTGCACTTAGGCAATATACACATCAAGCTTAATTTGACGGGGTTTGGCTGTAAACGCAATTCATTTTTGGCGTAATTCTGAACCTCTTGGCTTGCCATACTAATCCTAACCAAACGTATAATAGGCTACACGCACCCCACACCACTACTAAACCTACCCATGCGTATCCTGTGCACGTAAAAACAAATTTCCGCGTACAAATTGCACGATAAACACACTGCGTGCTATAGAGACGCATTTAGTGTGACCGGGTTGATATGGCAACCAAACTTCACTGGTGAGACAAACGTGCGACGAACGGACGGTCAGGATGACGTTTTGGCAGGGGAAAACTAATCCGAAAATGTAACAGAACGTTGTAGAAATGTAGTGGAGTAGAAAGTATAATAATTGCTGCAAAATGTAACGAAGTAAAAGTAATAAGTATGCACTATTGATTCTACTTAAGTAAAGTAAAGATATGTGAAAAATGTACTTAAGTAAAGTAACGAAGTATTTGTACTTCGTTACATTCCACCACTGCTGGCAGACTAGGCTACTTTTTACAGTCTATGGCTACTACATTCACTGCAAAGCTGCTGAAGAGTACAACCCATCAAAATATGTTAACACTCCAATGTGGGACATATCAGTCTATTCTTATGTTACATTTATTCATTTGGCAGACGCATTTACAGTGTTTCAAACGTCAGTTATAACCGGTTATAACCATAGGTAAACTACCTCGGACGCTAACTTATCTGAGACGATTTAATGCTAACTGTTGCAGTGCCACTGCCCACAAACATTGATGCTAAATAGTGCTAACTACGTGAAATAGTAGTGGAATGTCACTTACCGGAAAAAAACAGAGCGAAGTAGCCTACTCCTACAGTGTCGGTTAGTGCAGTTATAGCAGAGCAACCCATTTTATGTACGATAATTCAAAACAAATGTTCAGAAAGGATACAGAAGTGGGATGATGTGTTGTGTCAGATCATGGCCGAGACGTCAAATTTCAGGAATTCCACTCGGCGCAGCCCGTTATCAGCTGTCAATCAAAGTTAACCACGCCCTTATTTGTCATACATTTTATATCTAAATACGATCTAAACTAACCATGGGACCAACCTGTAAAAACATGAATTTATGCTGTGAAAACGGACATTTTAACATGGGGTCTATGGACATTTGCTCCATTTTGGGACCTGCAATTTTCGATGTATTGCAGTTTTTCGCACTTCCGGGTAGGCTTCATTTTTCAGATTAGAATGTTGCCGCTTGGTCCCACCCTATCTTCCTGTTTCAGTGGAAATTATGTCAACACATTGAATAACGCTGTGCGTTTCAAGGCACTTCACTGGGCCTTTAAAATCATCATGAAATCAAAATGGACAATTCTTTTTTTATTTTTTTTATTGCAGTTGTCTAGCAGGAGAAATAGGTTCCCATGTATCCGTTTGGCTTTTTTTTTTTTTGTAACCTGTTTTTTTGGGACCCTAATGGTGTCTAGTTTGGAATTTTTGATGTTGCCGAGGTCAACTAATGTCCCATGGGGTTCGTTTGGCGGCCATCTCGAAGTGATGTCAGCGCTAGGGGTGAAAAATGAGATTATCTCCTGAACCACACAACATACAAAGACAAATGAACCCACTTTTTTATATAATTCTGACACCAGGAATCAAATGGAAAGGTCATTGACATGGTACAACCACTCTTTTTTGGTGAAAAATAGACAAATAACACATTTTAGGCTCATAACGATGTAACTTAAATTGCTATTTTGTTTTTGCAATAGTTTCCTGCATTAGTCCTGTTTGTCATATGCCCATGAATGAGGTGTCAAATCGTGCGGATTATTGAGGAGAGGTGTGCTATATCTTTTATAAGCGATCGGGCGTATAATGTTTGCCCATAGACTTAACATTGCAACGAATTTTGGAGAGTCGTAGCTCTAAGCGAGGATTTCGTAGAAACATATGGGTTACCACATTTGAAGAGGCTGGCAGGCTCTGTAAGAACATACCTCACAATGAGGTGTAAGTTGTACCCCTGGGGGGCAAGATCTGCCCAAAGTTGCCCCAAAGACATACTATGGTGAAGGGACGGCCCATGAAACAGGGATTGCGCATACGTGTTTATCCCACTATGTAACTTGCATAGGAATTTTGTATCAAACATAACTCTGGATCACAGTGTCATAGAGACA